ATCGGGCCATTTATACCAAAACAGTGCTGACGAAACAGTGAGACTTCCATCAGAGAAATGAAAAGGTTTACACATTAAGCATTGAGACCTCTCCCCACTGATATAATAATAATAATAATCAACGTCAATAATGTTTTTTGGGGGGGAGGGGAGGGGCACTTACCTTTTGTCCCACCCACCTGCAATGTTTGACAAGTCCAGCTTATTATACAAGTACAAGCTATTTCGTATTGGGCATGTATGGAAAATACTTCATTTTGCGCCAATGTACACTGTTACTTTCGACATAGGAAAGTGACAGACGTATTTGTACATGAAAAACACTCCTCTGTTTGTTATAGGCATATGGTATTGGGTTGAAAACTCTAGGGCTATTGTCTGAGTCAGAAGAGAACAAGGAGGATCAGGACGACAAGCCATATTTACTGGACATGATTGTACCAAAACTAATGGAGCATTTTTCCACTGTTGGCAATGTTTTGATCATTTTTGACGGCGTCGATAAAAAACATATCCTGACAGACTTGTTTGGGGAGACTAAGACACCGTTTCCGCGTGGCTCCCATGTCTTAATAACTTCACGACACAAGATATGGTATCCTCAGTTAGAGGTTGATTCTCAAATAGAGCTCGGCGAACTAGTGGGTCCTTTGTGGTCGCCTATTCTCTTCGTCAAAATACGATACGGGCTCGTCAATGAAACGGAGGCGTTCTTTAAGTTAAAAAGCATGCCCGAGAAAGAACAAAGTGCCCTGGACACTTTGTTAGGCCCAAAATTTTTGGCTGGTCACACTTTGTCGATCTCACTGGTTGCCGCTAACTTGATGTCTACGAACAGATCTGCCTACGAGTTCCTTCAGCAATGGCAGGAAGGGGATCCCAGTTGGGCGCTCACCGATCCAGCGGACAGCAAATATGACGTTAACGATCGAATAAAGTATCCGCTGTCGTCAAGCTTAGAGACATTAGACGACGCTCAACTGGAACTAATAGATCTAGTGTGCTTGCTTTCTCAAAAGTTTAAGGAGAACTTTCTTTTAAAAACTGCTTTTCAATTAAGATCACCGCATCTTCGTCAATCCTTAACCGGTAATGCAAACGACCCTACAGAAACACACATCCAGAGCAACCTGGACGGCCTTTTGAAGAAACTGATAAACTTGTATATTATTGAACCTGCCTCTGAAAACGATGAAAAGGTTTGGATTGTCCACAACGTTTTAGTACGTATTAATGTAGGCCTTATTAGACAGAACATGACCCGTTGGGTAACAGGAATAAACAGTGCCATTGCCATACTGGACACTCTATTCCCCGATTACAATACGATATTCCTACATGACCACTACACCTGCCAGACTGAACGCAGGTGTTTGGAATACGACACCCTTGCACTGTATGCTGCCTCCGTCGCTAGAGAACTGTCCAAAATGTTGACCAGCCCAAGTTTTGATAACTGTGTCCTGGATGATCCAATACCAGCTTTATCCAGCGTCGCCATGTATCTCCGACGCCACAATGAATACGAGGCAGCAGTGCCCATTCTACAGGCTGTTGTAAAACTAGCCGAAGTCAACTCAGATGAGAACATGTACAGCTCCGCGAGATGTCGATACATCGATCTTTTGGGTCAACTTGGGAAACTTCATTTTGAGCTTGGTAATCTCTTGGAGGCAGAGAGGCTGGAGAAAAACGCCTTGGAATTAATCCCAGATTTCTGTCCACGTGAGCGCCAGATGGCGACAGGTATGTTACAAACTTTTATATTGAGAAACATGATGTATATACTATTTTATATATTACAATGAGGGCAGTCTTGCCCCAGAAATATAAATGTACCATTTCTCTTAACATTCTCCTCGCCGAAATGTAGTATGCAACTCTTATAAATCTTCGAGTAGCCCTTGGTTATTTTTAAGACAATTTAAATCACGATCAACAAAGTTGTGTTTAAACTATAGTATGCATATACATTGTGGCTTGCAGGATACCAAATTCTTGCTCGAGTTCTGCAGTACCAAAACGTGAACATCATGCCTTTCAAAAAGAGGGAGAACATAGAATATCTTTTGCATGAGGCTCTGAACAGAAAACTGAACATGTTACAGGACGCGTCGCCAGAAAGAAGAATGGAAAATGAAGTTTTGGTTCACCTAGGTACCAAACAATTAATATCCTCTAGAACCGTTTTGTATTTTCCTGTCCTTGCCCAGTGTTTTTGTTCTCTTTGTGTCTCTGCACTTTACTTTGGTATTCTGGACTGTCCAATTTATGGTTATTAAGAGAAATGGAACGATGGCCTTTAAAATTCATGTTGACTTGACCGGTTTACGTCTATTTCAGCGCACCATAATATGGGTCAGTTTTACCAAGACCTCGGTAGGTATGACATAGCTCAAGAGTATTTATCTAAAGCCCAGGAACTGTGGAAGCAATACCAGGCCGGTATACCACATTGGAACGCCACGTGGTCAGTTAGCAGAGCAGCAGGTATGGGGTTGTGTTTTAATGAAATATTCCTGTATTGTAGTGCAGTGTATACGTAGTGTAGTGTAGTATAACAAATGGTCATTCATTTTAAATAAAATGTAGTTTTTAAGGCAATCTATAACATAAAACTGAAGGTGAGAGTGCTGAAAAGGTTGATTTTATTAAACCAATTACCTTCATCAATTTGGTTGGTTAAAATGATTCTTGAGCTAAATGAAAATATAAACAAGAAAATGATATATACTTTTATCAATACCAGGTGGATATTTTAATCAGCATTATTCATTTATTTATTAATTTACTTATTCATTCATTTACTTACCAATTTTGTTCTTTATCCAGGCGAGACGACGATAGCAAGAAACTTCATACTCCAAGATAACATCCGCCATGACCCGTACTTGCTATTGCATGTCTGGAGGCTCTTGGAAAGAGCCGTTGAGATAAAGAGGCGACATCTGGCGGATTCCAACATCAGTCATCAGTTAGGTTAGTCTGGACTGTAATCACAATGAACCGGCCTCTCCTCTGTCTCCGACCATCCTTCAAATTCATTAATAAGCTACGAGCTAGTAACCTTTCTAATTATTCACACCTGATGCTGTCGATAAATAGATAATGGATGCAAATCATTAGAAATAGCACAAGGAAAAATTTGAAAAGCCTCAAATATGAATGATCTTGTCTTCTCTGCAGGGCTAGCTGTATTATCTGTGTCGTCTGGCCAAAAAGTTTCCAAAGTCCACCCATGCAATGAGAGTTTTGGCACAGAAGTACCAAGAGGAGCTGAAGCGTGTTGACACCTCGGGAGTGTTCCAGAAAATGTTAAATACCGAATATAAACGTGCATACGAAGGTAAAGATCTGCCCATTTTCAGTCATATAATTCAGAAATACCTTTATTATGTTATTGTTTGTATCAGTATGTACTCAATTTTATCGGAGAGATGAAAAGAAGCGTTCTGAATTATTTTTTCTTTTAAACCTTGTCTTCGTATCACATAGGCGTACGATATATATTTATATAATTTGCCTCTCATTGCTCCTTTTGCTTTTATAAGATTATTTTGTTTTGCTATAACAGTGACTTTTTTTTGCACGAATTTCTTTTTATATCCTTCTTTCTTAGTGTCTCTATTGCCTCTGAGTTTATTGCTGTATGTTGCTCCATGGGATAACTCTTCTTGAAACTCAATCGGCTGCGTGAAGTAAATTAGAATTCTTATCCCTAAGTGAAGCACAAGAAAGAAAGTGCAATATGTTCACTCCCATGCCACATAACAGTAATTTCTTTAACTTTAATTTATTCCAGAGTTTCCTTCTGACAATTTGGTATGGATATAAAGGAAATGGAGAACTGGAAGGTGACGGCGGCGATTGTCTTTATTAACTTTACATGGCATATAGTTACTACAAAAGATGGAATAGAGATAAATATATTTAAAAAAATAAGTTGTAACATTAGCCTATATTTCAGGGTGAAATGGTGTGCTTTATGGTATTAAATGATATTATTACTTTTAACGAACCTCAAATTGATATGGCATTGTTTTACATATAATGGTTAGAACCATGTGAAGTGCACCTGTGACATTCATTTTGTTTTCGGTGAAGTGTGAGTGCGTGTGATAAATTAGTCCCAGCAAGGACAAGGGTAGTAGTATTTCTTGCTCATATGTTTATTTCCCATACTATTAATTAGTTGGCTTCTTATTTGCTACATTTGCAGCAAAGACGAAAATGAAGAAAACCCAATAGTAATTTTGTCACTCTTTTGAACAAGTACATGTAACCCACCAGTGATAACTTCTATTTATTGAATAAATCTGTATATATTTATTACGGAAAATCTTGGTAGGGACCAGTGGTACATGTATGCGGAATTATTTCACATTCGTATCATAGCGGACGTTAGACTTATATCATCTTAAATATATAGATCAACGTTCTTTAACCCTCTACCTTATTTTCAGGCGTTTTCACACAACGCTTCCTTTTTAGTAATGTTTTTCGAGAAAAAGCAATTAACTATTTATTGTAAATTTTATTTCTTTGATGTTTTTGATATTACAACTAAGCACCCCTACAATATTGTTTACTGTTATCGTTATTCCCTTATTTTTTAAGGAATCTCTAAGTTTGCTCAGCACTTTTAATGGTTGTGGTTTGATTGTATATTTAGCCATATGGTGTTCATGCGCTCAATAAAACTGATTAAGTTTGCTATTCACTGTTTGAGTTATTTTTACAAGGCAACAGGTGGCAATGAATATAGGCTTTAAAAATGCTCATAAGCTAGTAAATTTTCGTTTTGCGTGCTTAAAAAGGTAAATGGGAATAAATAAGTAAAAAGATAAATAGATTGCGAAGGATCCGTGTTTGTTCATGCAATTAAGCCTACTGAAAATTATTGGAAGACCTCAAAATGACTTCTAAACAATTTACCTATGCAAGCAAAAATTTAAAATACCACCAAAACAGTTTTCTTTTGAAGAAAGGCTTCATTTCATTTAATGATCCAGCACATTAAAAAATAATAATTGGAACGATAAATCATAAAAGTAATTTAAAAAGTCTTTCGAAGATGAGGCATGTAACGCCCCCCTAGTAACGCCTGCGCTGCACCTGACCCTGCAGGTGAAATGAGATATCATGGTATTCTGGGGTTGTCTTGGAAAGAGCTGACGTCTAGCGTAGTGACACATAACTAGTTGAGTTTCGGTTTGACTACACCTTGTAGATATTCTGTTTTTGCACTGATATTCAGTTGGCTTCTGTTGGCCCGTTGGTTCGACGATGTGAACAGAATCATAATAAAGGAATTTACAGATTATTTGCGGTCAGTTTTGTTAAAGGTAGGTTAGAAAATGGGGTGTCACACCGTTACTCATCAAATGTATTCTGGGTTCCAAAAACGGCGAAATGAAATTTTAGATAAGCTTGGACAGGAAGACTGCTATATTAAATTGAGTTGCTGCGTACGTGACATCATGAATAACCATTAGTAAATTGAGCTTTCAATTACTAACTGATATTACATTCCACAAATGCTTAATTTTCGCTGAACCATTCATCATTGAAAGCAGACATACAGTAGAGTGTACATGTACCGGTAGTTCTGTTTTATGTGTTTTATCACTTTGCTATTTCAGCTTACATTGGAGTCCTTGATCAGCATTACCAGATATGGAGAAGATACACAAAGATGCTCTCATCAGATGCAGAGTATTTTTATGTGAAACCTTGGATCCGCAGTACTTGATGGATCATCTTATACAGGTAGAGTACTAGGCACTTTTGCATATATTCATGCCCCCCACTGCCACACACAATCACACCATATAACTGTTTAAGTATTCTTAAAATTAATTTGTTTGGTGACTTTGAACAACGTCTCCACTATTAAAATAAATCAGTTTGGCAATTTAGTTAATAATTTAATGTTTTATCTAAATTCTTTACATGAAACTTTATGCCATCCAAATATTAAGAGAGCCACAGCCATCACTGTGGTGAAAATTTGCTGTGGTCTCATTGTTCTAATAGCTTGAAGGTTTAAAAAAGAAAAAGATAAGAAAATTAGTTAATAATTTTCCAAACTAATTTATCAGATAGCAAAGTTTCTTTGCTGTGTCATTATTTGCCGGTGAGGGATTAGAATTTAGATTTAAATATCCACTGTTCTCTTGTCATTTTGCTTTTTCTTTGCCAGCTTGCTGCTGATAATGAACATTGTGTACTAGTATTGCTTCTCCATACTTTTAGCTGATGTTACCACAAACCTTATTTTAGTATCTCATAGTTTTTGTTACTTTTGATGGCTTTTTTTGAAGAGCTATGAAAAACGTCTTACTCACCTCATGCATGTGCCTAAAAATGAGACAGTTATACTGGTAGGATGAGGGCATGCTGCAAAAGTGTACATCCTGTCACTTGTTCTTTGATTCTAGGAGGGGATAATGACCGATGATATGAAGGATCACATTATGGGAGAAAGAACACGGCTAAGGCGCATAGAAAGTTTGCTCGATTTCATTCCTACCCGTGGACCCACAGCCTTCGATGCATTCATGGGCTCTTTGGAGAAGGACTATGGGTTTGTTATTGAGAAAATCTACGAGAAAATAAATGAGCTCCAACAGCAGCAGCAAAGACGTCCGAATCAACCACCAGGTGGCGCTGTTGCCAATAACGCCCATATTTCTAGTAACCCAGGCACACGTGGGCCAGGGTCCACCCTCCCACCCCACCAGGTACCCCCCTACCCTGGGGGAGGCCAGATGACCTCTGACCCTATGGCAGGGGATGCCAGGAGACCAGTGCAGGAAACCAGACAATCATTTGATGCTGGTAAGAAAATGAGGGAAGAGATACAGGAAAATAACTTGTATTTCGTGTATGTTACTATATATATATAATTTTGTTTTAATTTCTGAGCATAAAGATGACATCCTTAGTAGAAAATTGAGCACTACATTTGTTCTCTCTATTCAATTATTTACTGTCATGTTCTTCATTTATTTAGTCGAGTAACTGAGCAGTACCCCTGAACTCTTTTAAACAATTTTATATCTGCTGTCAGTTTGAAATTACTGAATATTCCTCTTCAACATTACAGTTCCGACTAACTGGGTTGAACGGCTTCCAAATGAGGTCAAGTTAAGACCCGTGACGGAAGCGGAGCTGTTTCATATAGCACATCATATTGGCAACAAGTGGGAAATGTTGGCTGCCCAGATGGGGTTCTCGCGAGGAGAGATCGACCACTTCCGCATGTATTGCCAGTTTGACCAAAGTTTACAGGCGGCCAGGATGTTAAGCACGTGGCGGTCAAAGGAATCCGGCAATGCCACTGTGATAAACTTGATCAAACTTTTACAGATTTCATACGTGGATGAGAGCGTTTACAGGGATGTGTTTTGTTCTTGACATCAGAGTTTCAACCTTTGTTTTTGAATACCAGTACAATTGATTTTTATAGACAACACTGCAAAGCTGCATCGATAATGGAAAACGTACTAGTACATTGCTTTATATAACCATGTGCACGATTTCTTGAGATACTCAATTGTATTTTCACCAATTTAGCATCACAGACTGGTTGAGTGTTCTATATGTGTAATACAAACGTCTTCGAATGAATTAAAATAATTTGTTTTAACATTAAAACATTTTACATTAAAATGTATGAAGGGTTTTTCACATCTAGTGGCGTACTTATGGAATTCAGTGTGTGCCAGTAAGATTTAAGAGGTCCTTACATAGAATAAAATGTCATACAAATCCTGTGTACTGTCATTTTAGTTCAATTGATGACAGCATTAATTTAATCCTACTTTGGAACATACGTAGAACAGTTATATGATAAGCCAGGTTTCCCAAAATGACTAGTTTGTTGTAGGTGTACTATAGCCACTTTTTAACGCATAAGTTAACAGGATTTATTAAACCAATTGTATTTTTTGTGAAAATGACTGTTAGAAATTCCAATTTCTTACTTTAAAGATTGTGGTGTTAGAAACTCAACATTATTTGGTGTCTTACGTGTCAGTAAAGGGCTACGTTTCAGAAAGCTTCCATCAAGCGTTTGTGTAAAATTTCTCTAGTCTGTACTTACAGATGTGGTTTCAAACTCAACCAAAGCCTATTGGGATGCTTGCCAACTTTGATAGCAAAACGTAGCAATCCACCTTTTGCAAACTATGCCACCTAACAACTAATCTACCGTCAAAGAAAGGAAATCTGGATTCTTTGGACATTCATTCCATTTTGTCCATTTCAAATTTTATTCAAAGACAACATATGAACAAATGCATTCTTCAAAGTCATTTATTTTTTTTCTTCTCAGTATGTTTCAGATTCACTATAATTACAAAATCTGCAGACAGAAATGCAGGTCCATGCTAATAGTGCGTGTTTGGTCGCGCGGTTGCGAATCTTGGCTTGTGCAGTTGCTTGACCACCCTGTGGGGTAGAGGAAACTTGATGGTGGAGTTCTGGAAAAACAACAAGAATATATTTATTAGCTTTGAATATAACATACAGAAATACGTGGTCTGATCATACTCCATATCTACGGTCCACATCTTCACAAAACAATATTGGCTGATGATGTAATCCATGGTTTTTGACCAATCAGAGTAAAATAAAACATCCCATCAATGAGGCATAAAATATGGCAGATGACAGCAATGTAGCAACTTTTGATATCATCTTGGAAAACACTGCCATTCTTTCAATTATAATAACAAAGTATTTCTGAAGGGGGTAGGGGGTGGGCATAAATACATCACTCCAAAAAGTCCACATAAATCCAAAAGACTTGTCTCTATTGATGTGAGGTTTAGGAATCAAGGTCTTGAATTCCCTCTGACAGTTAACCTTCAAAATGCTTCCATTAAATAAGAGTTGGGACCACTAAAAGCAGATGAGATAAAATCACTTACATGGAACTGCTTGATGTTGGATCTTCTGCACTTGGATGCCTCCACTGTCTGTACTCTAATGATCTGGATGGAGTGCGCACGGGCACGATGACGTGCGCCCATATCACGATCTGAAAGATGAAGATTTTCATGTTCATTAACTAAATCTCCCACAACCTACGTAACTACGCCAGAAATAATCATATTAACACTGTAAAATATTCTCTAACCAGACCTCCTTTAATCTACGTAAACAGGAGGAAAATTGTCACATTAGAATGTAAAATATCCTTTAACCAGGCCTCTTACGATCCATGTAAATATTTGTAACTGCTTGATTCACTTCCAAAGAAATCAAAGATTCAAGGAAGGCGACAAGCTGTGTTAATGTATGCACTTTTTCTAACCACAGTCTCTGGGTGAAGCAACTGTGTGAAAGGGATAGTGCAACTAACAGGAATAAGACTTTGTGGTCCCCAAAAAAAGTTGGGAAATCTGCTGATGGTTGGAAAAATCTCATCCCCCCCTCCCACTCCCGCCCCGAGTCTTTTAATTGTATGTCATGTAGGAAAAGTGACATTAACACATTTGGGACTCGTTATTGGTGAATTTAACAGCAAATTCATCACTGGAACAGGTATGAAAAATCATACTGAAAACTAACAGGCTAACAGCTGTGAGGAAGTTAACATATGTTATTAGGGTTCAAGTACTAGCTGAAGTACAAGTTATGGACCATAATTCAGATGTGTTAATTTGAGACATTTTATCTCGTCTCTCTCTCTCCATCATAAGATTTAAACCAAAATTATCTTTTACTCCAGTGGTTTGGGGGTAGGCGGTTTGGCTAGGGTTTGGTGGGAGGTTGGCTGCACTCCTTTTGGTACCGTGATAAATGAAGTCTGTACAGGGTTATAATAAAACTTACAGCACTGTGTAANTGGATATTCTGTATTTGCACTGATATTCAGTTGGCTTCTGTTGGCCCGTTGGTCCGACGATGTGAACAGAATCATAATAAAGGAATTAACAGATTATTTGCGGTCAGTTTTGTTAAAGGTAGGTTAGAAAATGGGGTGTCACACCGTTACTCATCAAATGTATTCTGGGTTCCAAAAACGGCGAAATGAAATTTTAGATAAGCTTGGACAGGAAGACTGCTATATTAAATTGAGTTGCTGCGTACGTGACATCATGAATAACCATTAGTAAATTGAGCTTTCAATTACTAACTGATATTACATTCCACAAATGCTTAATTTTCGCTGAACCATTCATCATTGAAAGCAGACATACTAGTACAGTAGAGTGTACATGTACCGGTAGTTCTGTTTTATGTGTTTTATCACTTTGCTATTTCAGCTTACATTGGAGTCCTTGATCAGCATTACCAGATATGGAGAAGATACACAAAGATGCTCTCATCAAATGCAGAGTATTTTTATGTGAAACCTTGGATCCGCAGTACTTGATGGATCATCTTATACAGGTAGAGTACTAGGCACTTTTGCATATATTCATGCCCCCCACCGCCACACACAATCACACCATATAACTGTTTAAGTATTCTTAAAATTAATTTGTGTGGTGACTTTGAACAACGTCTCCACTATTAAAATAAATCAGTTTGGCAATTTAGTTAATAATTTAATGTTTTTTCTAAATTCTTTACATGAAACTTTATGCCATCCAAATATTAAGAGAGCCACAGCCATCACTGTGGTGAAAATTTGCTGTGGTCTCATTGTTCTAATAGCTTGAAGGTTTAAAAAAGAAAAAGATAAGAAAATTAGTTAATAATTTTCCAAACTAATTTATCAGATAGCAAAGTTTCTTTGCTGTGTCATTATTTGCCGGTGAGGGATTAGAATTTAGATTTAAATATCCACTGTTCTCTTGTCATTTTGCTTTTTCTTTGCCAGCTTGCTGCTGATAATGAACATTGTGTACTAGTATTGCTTCTCCGTACTTTTAGCTGATGTTACCACAAACCTTATTTTAGTATCTCATAGTTTTTGTTTCTTTTGATGGCTTTTTTGAAAGAGCTATGAAAAACGTCTTACTCACCTCGTGCATGTGCCTAAAAATGAGACAGTTATACTGGTAGGATGAGGGCATGCTGCAAAAGTGTACATCCTGTCACTTGTTCTTTGATTCTAGGAGGGGATAATGACCGATGATATGAAGGATCACATTATGGGAGAAAGAACACGGCTAAGGCGCATAGAAAGTTTGCTTGATTTCATTCCCACTCGTGGACCTGCTGCCTTCGATGCATTCATGGGCTCTTTGGAGAAGGACTATGGGTTTGTTATTGAGAAAATCTACGAGAAAATAAATGGGCTCCAACAGCAGCAGCAAAGACGTCTGAATCAACCACCGGGTGGCGCTGTTGCCAATAACTCCACCCATATTTCTAGTTACCCAGGCACACGTGGGCCAGGCTCCACCCACCCACCCCACCAGGTACCCCCCTACCCTGGGGGAGACCATATGACCTCTGACCCTATGGCAGGGGATGCCAGGAGACCAGTGCAGGAAACCAGACAATCCTTTGATGCTGGTAAGAAAATGAGGGAAGAGATACAGGAAAATAACTTGTATTTCGTGTATGTTACTATATATATATAATTTTGTTTTAATTTCTGAGCATTAAGATGACATCCTTAGTAGAAAATTGAGCACTACATTTGTTCTCTCTATTCAATTATTTACTGTCATGTTCTTCATTTATTTAGTCGAGTAACTGAGCAGTACCCCTGAACTCTTTTAAACAATTTTATATCTGCTGTCAGTTTGAAATTACTGAATATTCCTCTTCAACATTACAGTTCCGACTAACTGGGTTGAACGGCTTCCAAATGAGGTCAAGTTAAGACCCGTGACGGAAGCGGAGCTGTTTCATATAGCACATCATATTGGCAACAAGTGGGAAATGTTGGCTGCCCAGATGGGGTTCTCGCGAGGAGAGATCGACCACTTCCGCATGTATTGCCAGTTTGACCAAAGTTTACAGGCGGCCAGGATGTTAAGCACGTGGCGGTCAAAGGAATCTGGCAATGCCACTGTGATAAACTTGATCAAACTTTTACAGATTTCATACGTGGATGAGAGCGTTTACAGGGATGTGTTTTGTTCTTAACATCAGAGTTTCAACCTTTGTTTTTGAATACCAGTACAATTGATTTTTATAGACAACACTGCAAAGCTGCATCGATAATGGAAAACGTACTAGTACATTGCTTTATATAACCATGTGCACGATTTCTTGAGATACTCAATTGTATTTTCACCAATTTAGCATCACAGACTGGTTGAGTGTTCTATATGTGTAATACAAACGTCTTCGAATGAATTAAAATAATTTGTTTTAACATTGAAACATTTTACATTAAAATGTATGAAGGGTTTTTCACATCTAGTGGCGTACTTATGGAATTCAGTCTGTGCCAGTAAGATTTAAGAGGTCCTTACATAGAATAAAATGTCATACAAATCCTGTGTACTGTCATTTTAGTTCAATTGATGACAGCATTAATTTAATCCTACTTTGGAACATAATACAGTTATTTGATAAGCCAAGTTTCCCAAAATGACTAGTTTGTTGTAGGTGTACTATAGCCACTTTTTAATGCATAAGTTAACAGGATTTATTAAACCAATTGTATTTTTTTTTGTGAAAATGACCGTTAGAAATTCCAATTTCTTACTTTAAAGATTGTGGTGTTAGAAACTCAACATTATTTGGTGTCCTACGTGTCAGTAAAGGGCTACGTTTCAGAAAGCTTCCATCAAGCTTTTGTGTAAAACTTCTCTGGTCTGTACTTACAGATGTGGTTTTAAACTCAACCAAAGCCTATTGGGATTCTTGCCAATTTTGATAGCAAAACGTAGCAATCGACCTTCTTTTGCACACTATGCCGCCTATCAACTAATCTACCGTCAAAGAAAGGAAATCTGGATTCTTTGGACATTCATTCCATTTTCAATTGTCCATTTCAAATTTTATTCAGAGACAACATATGAACAAATGCATTCTTCAAAGTCATTTATTTTTTTCTTCTCAGTATGTTTCAGATTCACTATAATTACAAAATCTGCAGACAGAAATGCAGGTCCATGCTAATAGTGCGTGTTTGGTCGTGCGGTTGCGAATCTTGGCTTGTGCAGTTGCTTGACCACCCTGTGGGGCAGAGGAAACTTGATGGTGGAGTTCTGGAAAAACAAGAATATATTAATTAGCTTTGAATATAACATCCAGAAATACGTAGTCTGATCATACTCTATATCTACGGTCCACATCTTCACAAAACGATATTAGTTGATGATGTAGTCCATGGTTTTTGACCAATCGGAGTAAAGTAAATGTATTGATGTGAGGTTTAGGAATCGAGGTCTTGAATTCTCTCTGACAGTTAACCTTCCAAATGTTTTCTTAAAAGAGTTGGGACTACTGAAAGCAGATGGGATAAAATCACTTACATGAAACTGCTTGATGTTGGATCTTCTGCACTTGGATGCCTCCACTGTCTGTACTCTAATGATCTGGATGGAGTGCGCACGGGCGCGATGACGTGCTCCCATATCACGATCTGAAAGACAAAGATTTTCATGTTCATTAACTAAATCTCCCACAACCTACGTAACTACGACAGAAATAATCATATTAACACTGTAAAATATTCTCTAACCAGACCTCCTTTAATCAACGTAAACAGGAGGAAAATTGTCACATTAGAATGTAAAATATCCTTTAACCAGGCCTCTTACGATCCACGTAAATATTTGTAACTGCTTGATTCACTTCCAAAGAAATCAAAGATTCAAGGAAGGCGACAAGCTGTGTTGATGTATGCACTTTTTCTAACCACAGTCTCTGGGTGAAGCAACTGTGTGAAAGGGATAGTGCAACTACCAGGGATGGGGCTTTATGGCTCCCAAAAAAAAATCCCCCCCCCCCCCCCCCCCCAAAGTCTTTTAATTGTATGTCATGTAGGAAAAGTGACATTAACACATTTGGGACTTCTTATTGGTGAATTTAATGGCAAAATTCATCACTGGAACAGGTATGAAAAATCATATTGGAATCTAACAGGCTAACAACTGTGAGGAAATTAACATATGTTATTAGGGTTCAAGTACTAACTGAAGTACTAGTTATGGACCATAATTCAGATGTGTGAGACATTGTATCTTGTCTCTCTCTCTCCATCATAAGATTTAAACCAAAATTATCTTTTACTCCAGTGGTTTGGGGGTAGGCAGTTTGGGTAGGGTTTGGTGGGAGGTTGGCTGCACTCCTTTTGGTACCGTGATAAATGAAGTCTGTACAGGGTTATAATAAAACTTACAGCACTGTGTGACAGCCCCAGCCACAGTGAGATCTCTGTATTCTCTGTACATGTGAAAATGAAGTCTGTACAGGGTTATAATAAAACTTACAGCACTGTGTGACAGCCCCAGCCACAGTGAGATCTCTGTATTCTCTGTACATGTGATAATGAAGTCTATACAGGGTTATAATAAAACTTACAGCACTGTGTGACAGCCCCAGCCACAGTGAGATCTCTGTATTCTCTGTACATGTTGTGGGTGCCACTCCTGGAGTCGTATCTCAGCCAGATTCCAAAGTTCTTGATGGTAGTTGGCTTCTTCTCATAGACCTGACAGAATAATAATAATAATAATAATAATAATAATACTGTTTAGTAAAAGAGGCAAATAATATTTCACCCAAGTTGGCATTTCAGTCAATGCCTTTTAAAAATCCTGTTTAGATAGTCATAAACATTTCCATCTTTCAATATATCAAATATAAATTAAAGTATCTTTCTTCACTTTTCCCCCCGCAATCAGCTTAGAAAATTAATGTGTTACAAAAAGTTTTCACTTTCAGTGGCATCAAAGGGGCCAAGAAAGGCGACAATATGTATTTCTTTTTGCACTTGCTTCAAACCACATAATACTGCCATACGTATTAGTGGCATTGGGATATTTGTGCAGATTAGATTAAAATTTGGCTCATTTACATGAAAAAAGTCCCCCTTTGGCAATGAGGGAATTTATAGTTTCAAAGTTCTCACCTTGGAAATGTATATAGTTTTGCAGGATACTTAGTTATTTTGATGTCACTTTGGGATATTTTCACATGTGGATAGTTTGTCTTAAGTAAATTAAGTTTACTTCAATGAGAATAAAAGTTAAAATTAACACACATGCGCTGCTCTTTTAAGTCCTCTCTTACCATCTGACAACAGACAATTTCTCCGTTAGTCTTCTTCATCTTCTTGAACATCTTGGCAAAGTACCAGAACCTGGACTTGGCTGTGGGTTTGTCAGGGGCGAAGATCCTCATCTGATACAAGGCAGGCACCCTGTCCTTGTCCGTGGGGTAACGCCGCCCTATCACCTTGTACTCCTTCAGCTGCACACGAAGAAAATAATTATTTTAGTTTTCCTCATTACAATTAAATCAAAATGGGGTCAATGCAGTGAGAAAGTCTTACAAAAGAATCTTTTTACTGCATAAATGCTTGTCATTAATTTATACACAGCAAGGTAATGTGGATGGAAGGGGCATATTACTGTCACGTCCGACTGAAAGATTCATTCTCTCTACGTGATTATCAACATGTTGAATTACTCCTTCAAAAGTAACTCATTAACTTGATCTGTTACGTTATGTAATGCGACCGCCAACATAATTCAGGTATGTTTCGATACCCAAAGCTATTCACTCCATCAGGGCCACTTTCTCATGCTCTCAGCCCTATCCTCCATCTTGGATAAGCGTGCTCTCACAAAATTCAATTATCTTCACTCATCGCTATGAGAACAATTCAAAAAGGGGTTTAACTACATCATTTTATTCTGTTGTTTATGAAAATGCATAAACACGGTGACTTTTAGAGTTTTATTTGTCATAATGTGGGTTGCAGTTTGGAGCACTAACCTCACCGCGAGCCTTCATCTTGTTACACGAGGAAAAAGGCCGATATGTGTTCCGCTAAAACGAGATTTACATTTTTTAAGAAAATGCCAAAAAAATCTACAGTTTACTTTAATTCATACAAAGATATAGTTTTGTTTTTATTTCTAATCAAAGATGGACATTTTTATAATAAAGGAGACAAAATTGGAGAAATTGTTAAAAATCCCGTCCAAACGAGACTTCAAAGTGTCATGGCAGCCTACGCAGCTGATGAAACGTGGCTGTAATGTTTTGATGCGAACAATGTGCATTTAAGGCGAAGATATACACACTAAAGGTTAGTGCGTCATTGGAGAGCTTTTGATAACATATATCTGTTTAATGTGTTCACCCAGAGATCATTCGGACATGCAAACCTGACTTTAATCAACAATTAATCGCACCGGTTGTCGGCTGTTTTACAACGTGACTTGGTGAATCGGTGAAATGAGGCGAGCTAAGAAAGGCCAGAACAAGCAGTGATAGATTTCGTTCGATCACACTTTCTAAATTAGACGCAGTCTGACAATGAAGATACTGTTACTGAAACGTTGGAAATCCAAATAACTCGGAATGTATTTGCAAGCGCAGATGTTCACGTTTGAGGCGGACCTGTTTGAGGGGTGGGTTCTCCCGTCATAGGCCCCATTTCCAGAGATTAGATCGACCTAACTCCCTGGGGGTTCACGCTAAATAGCTGTCAGCCGAGCGGACACGAAAGTTAATTACCCCCTTACCGCTTGTAGTAGGCGGGACGGACATTTAAGAAGGATTATCTGAGAGTAATCTAGTGAGACTCCCCGCGGGGATAGATCGATCTAAAAGCTCTGGGAATACAGCCATACATACTTTGACGGGTTAATGATGTGGGTGGTTTATTTTTTTATGTAACTCCATCCATTTTTATCAAATATTCAGAACTAGATGTCATAACATATTGCTGGTTTTACAGTAAGTTTAGATACTGGAGATCAAAGACCTTCAATTAGCACAAAGTTTTGTGCATTCGTTAGTACTCTAAATTTTGGTTTCTACTTTACAACCTATATATATTTGTTAACCAACATTGCCAGAGATAAATTGTGGGAGGGTGGCGGTAGGTTTTAATTATCCTTCTAAATTTTTTTCTTTTTTTTTCTGCACTTTTGTCAAGTTGTGTATATGGTGGAGGGAGGTTGTGGTGCTGGAGTGGTGTGGAGAGGGAGTAACAGGATACTTAAATGTCTTACTTACTTATCCTCTTTGAGCCGTGGTGGGCTAATAAGGCTTGTCGGCATCCTCTGTCGTTGTCTTCTATCTTTTGCTGCTGTGCGGGCTTCACTGCCCTCTTTGCTACCCCAGTTCTTGCTGCTTGGCTTATTTGCTTCTTCTCCATGTAATTCATATAAAGGTTTTATAAAGACATAAATATGTAAATTATTTTGGTAAATAAATGATATCAGTAATACATAAATGATATATATTGATATTGTATGTTATCCCAGCAGGTATCCTGTGTGTGGGGCAGTGTATGGGGCAGTCATGGAGGAGGTGGCGCTGCAAGGGCTGGACCCCCAGGTCAACGATCCCGCAGCTAGGGCTCTCGTAAGTTCTCCTTCATGTTGTTAACCCATTTCCAGCATGAAATAGGCTACTGAGGATTTTATACATACTTTGTTACCCTGACTTTCAAAAGCCTTTAAACATTTGCTTCCTGTTGTTGGTTTGAAGAAAATATTTATTGCCAGTGAGTGAAAAACACTGCTGATGAAATTCTCCAACTAGGCACTAATAGAATTTCTCAAGTCAAATTTTACTCAAATGCTAAAATTTCATCAGGATTCTCTCTATTCCTTCCAGACGTTGCAGTATTTTGAGCAGCTGAAAGCCTCAGAAGATGGCTGGAGACTTTGTGCTGCTTCTCTCACCTCCGGGAGATATCACAGGTAAGTGCTCTACATGTGTTACCATTTCATTAAAGACTGTCTGTTCTTTTTCTTATGATACACAGACACAGTAGAAGATAAAATTTGTTGTTTTTTCAATAACTCTTATTTTACCTTAGCATCTGCCTGATGACTTTGGTTTTGTTATTTGGGAATTATTTTTTTAATGATTAACAAATGAAGCACAGTATTTTATTCTGACATTGTTTACTAGGAAGTAAAAGTGGAATAAAGACAATAGCTTTAAGTTGATATTATTTATGTGTTAGATTAATTTTTTATTTATTGATTTTAATCTTGCAAGTTTGTTAATATCTAATACAGATTACTTTTTATTTTGATTTCTGTTTCACACATATATTTTTATTTTCAGCAACGATCACATTCAGTTCTTTTGTTATCAAGTTATTGAACATTTCCTGAAAACAAGGTGCGTGTGCCTTCATATTTATTTTTAGATTAATGTTCAGATAATATTAAAATGTGGAATAGAAAAAATGATATCTGTCAATTTGGAAGTTCTAATATATGACATATGTACTCAAATTTTTTATTTATTGAAAATGAACTGTACCTTTTGACATAATTTTGTGGAACAAATAACTGATTTATTGTCAGTTTTAATATCATGTTATATGCAGTTCATATATATCCATTATATAAACCAATGGTCAGTTTCTTTTTTTCACAAAATAACGTAAGCTTGAAATTGATCTAAACGTTCAGTCCAAAGATAAAAGCCGTCTTTGAACCACGATATATCAGCCTGTTTAATATTAAGAAAGTCTTAAACCAACATTTAATTGATTCAAAGGTACAACTAGTATGATGTCATCTTGCCCTGAAGTTGACAAAATTTTATGGCCTTAAAGTTAAAAAAATGTACCTATTTTTGGGCTTAATTTCTTCTTTGAGCTCATCCCTTTAAATATGTTGTAGCTATGTCAGCGCCAGCCCTGTTGTTCAACGAGAGTGCAAGACCTTCCTGATGACTGTGCTACAGTTACAGGTGAGAACTCCGTCGTGGAGGAAATTGTTTGTAAAAGTGGGGCACAAATATGGCCTTCAGTAAGGAGTTTCCTCAATGTACTTATTTTGTTTACATGTAATCATATATGTCAATTAAAGAGCCAAGACACCATGAAGAAATTGTGGGAATGAGTTTGGTAAACTTGAATAAAAATACTGTCTTAAAATCTGGAGTCTCCTCAATGAACCTATTTTGTACACATAAAATCACTACTACATTGTATATACATCAATTCCAGAGCCAAGACACCACAAAGAATAAAACCTTTCTGCGTAACAAGGTTGCCCAGGTTCTGTCCTTGGCGTTTGTCTGTGACTATCCTCAGCGCTGGCCGAGCTTCTTCCAGGATTTACTTCAGTTGCTGAGCATGGGGCCTCTGGCTGTGGATATGTACCTGAAGGTTCTGGTTGCAATCGACAGTGAGGTGGTTGACAGAGATATTGTCCACACACAGCAGGTATGTATGTTAAAACAGAGTGACGCTTTTTTTTTTTAAATTTCACAATTAACTTACTTTTAGAATTACTATACGGTGTAAAAGTAGGATAACAGGGAGTAAGTACTTAATATTAAAACAGCACACTTATCAGATCAATATGATATCTTCAACTGTGATATCTCACCTGGCATAAGACTAAATATCTTTGACAATTATGGGAATAATACAAAGCATTTATGAAGTGACGTGATATTTGAATTGAATTTCCATTGTATAATTGCTGTAAAAAGGTGACTGGTGTTATTTTTATGATTTCAGGAGACAGAGAGGAACACCATGATTAAGGACACCATGAGGGTAGACTGTGTGGCACAGCTGGTGGATTCCTGGTACCAGATCATTGTAAGTGTGTTCACACTGCCCCCTGTGAAAGTTTGTCTCCTTTAACGCTCACTTACGCTTCTCAATCTGTCCTAGAACATAACGTTTTTCTCTTTTAAAGAAAAATGTTCCTTAAATTGAGGACATTGTAAGTGCACAGCTAGATGATGTATTAAATTATTAGATAATAAGTAAATTGAAAGAAAAATGAAGATATGTTTTCTCTACTGTGTGTATAGTTGTACCCTGCTCTGATATAGTGAAGGTGTGGTTTAATATTTAGGACTTTATTTTCCAGACAGGTTATGAGTCGTCCAACCCAGAGACTGTATGTCTGTGCCTAGATATAATAGGGAAATACGTATCATGGATTGACATTAACATGATAGCCAACAACAAGTTTGTGGAGGTGCTAATTCGTTTCATGCGCATGAACCTCCTGCGAGAGAGTGCGTGCGACTGTATTCACGAGATCATCAGTAAGGGCATGGACCCAGTAGCCAAGACGAAGTTGATAGAGTCCTTTACTAATGTGCTGGATAGTGCTGGTGTGATACACCCCACAGAGGTATATATTGACAGAGTCTACCGCTTCGCGTGTGTGAATGCACATGCATGGTGGGGGGGGGGGTCATCCTTCTTACTTATTTCCCATCCTTTGAATCTACATAGGGAAAGAAGGGGTAATATACTTAGATAATGACATTTCAGGTTTCCTAGTTTGGTAAAGCTATCACTTCTTGGTTTCTTTTATGTTATTATGAGATTTATCTGAAAAATTTTGACAATTGTGAAGATCTGTTATTTAGCCCCATTTTGCCATTTATTAACTTTGTTAAAAAGCCTGTCATTTGTACCCATATATTTACTTCTCTAATATAGATTTGTCATGGTTTGATAAGAAAACATTGAGCTTTGTTATATATAATATTTCAGGACGAGGAAGGAGATTTTGTGGCCAAGTTGTCCAAGCTGGTTAATGGGATGGGTCTGCAGCTCATACAGGCCTGGCAAAAGTGAGGGACACTTTTATTTATTTTTATTTTTATTTTTATTATTAGTGATTAACATCAAAAATAAAGATTGTTGAAAATGTATCTACTACAGACTATTTAAAAGGAGTACTGCTAATTATTTTTGATAGTCATTTTGATTGCTTGATGTGTAATCTGTCCCAGCATCAGAATATAATCTAGTCCTAGAATCTATTCCTGTGTATTAGTGATTGTAATAATGCAATGAATGTTTTTCACCTGATTCAGGTTGGTCAAGGCGGGGGATAGTGCCAGTTCTAATGTCACTATGCAAGCTTTTGAACATAAGGTGCCATTAATGTTCCGTTTCCTTGGTGACGAGGACGATGATGTGTCCGGGGCCATAATAACATTTGCACACGACTACATCTCCGTGTTGAAACAAGTGAAGACTTTGTCAGAAAAACAGAGACAGAATATTGAGGTGAGCATGTTATGGTTTTTGTGATGTTTTTGTTGTCATTTATTCAATTATAAATTTGATTACTTTGATGAACAAAATGTGGTTATGTTTGCTGTGAACATGATGCCCACTCAAGAAAGCATTATTTTCTCCAAACTGCTAAAGTATTAATTGTTATAACAATGATACTGAAATGCTTGATTTTTCATCATTGATAAACTGCTTGAAAAACTGATTTAGGCAAAGAGTGTTGTTTATTTTAAAAATTGTAGGTCAATTGCATGTGCACTCAAATAATAACCCTTTTTAAATAGCATCATTAATATGTATTTTTAAGGGACTGCTGTTTGTTGTTGTGAAGAAATTGAAATATGATGAATCATACAACTTTGATCAAGAGGTAAGAACTACAAGCAACAAGGTGTTAAAATGTACATAAGAACAGATTTTCCTTGTTAATTAATTTCATTAAATTTAACTGAAAATTGCAGGTCCCATTGTAAAAGAAAAAGTGAAGCAGTGTTTACAGTTCCTATACGCTCTCTTATGAACAGCCCATAAATTATTATAATTCTTTGTGTCTTTTCAACTATTTTAACAAATAATGTCACATGCATTTATCTTTTAGGGAGAGGAAGAAGCAATGTTTCAAGAATACAGAAAACAGTTAAAAACCATCTTCAATAATCTTGCTCAACTGGTAAGTTTAATATGTTATCTTTCTCATTTATAAATTCTTTGGACTTATTTTACACTGGATAAAATGGAAGAAGTTATATGCACTCTTTTCCATTATATCTCATCTAACATAAAGCTAAATATCTAAGGAAACTATGCAGCATTTGAATAAAAAGTAAAATGTTGAAGTAAATCACGTGATGATTTTCTGACAAGACATGCAAGGCAGGGGTCAGGAATTTTTAGTTTCAGCGGAAAGCTTTCTCTCTTTTCCTCAGTTGCCATGCCAGTCTGTTTAAAGATAACTTTATTTTCATATGTTTCTGTTTCAGGATAACCAGCTGATAGTGGCGGCAGTTCACAGTTTGGTAGCCAGCACTCTTCAGAACTGGAGGAACATGGAGCACCAGGAAGTGGAGGTCGCCATCTATCTGTTGTATATTTTAGGAGAAACTATCCCTGTAAGTATAGAAAGAATCAAGCCCTGAAGATATGTTCACTTAGGTTTGAAACTTGTAAATTATTGTACCTTAGGAAGTTGATGTAAAAAAGATACTGATCTCTTGAAGTTTGCAGCTTTCATGAGTTAGAAAAAGAGAAAAACATACAAGTTAGTGTTGCCTTATAAAACTTTAGATTTCACTCTGTGAATTTAACAGTGGCGCAATATTAGCCATTACGTTGTTTTACTCTATGCTTTGCTTTATCACATTGACTTCACTCCTCTTGAAGGTTTGCATCTTCCTGTGTGATGTGAAAGCAAAAAGTATTATTGTAAAATGTGGTAATTGTTTTCAGCCCACTCAGGGACCGCAATTCAGAGATGCTAGTCAGTCCAAAACTACGGCGCTCCAAGAAATGATGAGACTGGTGAGCGATTTACTGTACACAGTTAAACTAAGATTAAAAAGAAGTAGGAAAAATTTTGATTTCTTTGAAAGTTTTCATGTTTTATTGTGTTCTGTTTTAATGTAGGTATTTGCTAGCTTTGTCAATACAAAATAAGTCTCAGGTTGACTCTTTAAAAGTGTAATAGTAAGATACTGAGTTCTTTAATACATACTTAATGAGGATGATGAGGATTTCAGTAATAACAATCTGCTTTCAGCTTGTCACCTGTGGTGTAAGTCACACCCCCCATACAGCTGTCACCCTGCAGATGTTTGAAACCATCGTCAGATATGAGAAATTCTTCCTGTCTGAGCCACAGCATATCCCTGCGATACTGGTAAGATTTACTGACCTCTTAGTTGTTGACTTTGTAAATGTGTATAGTTAAAGAAATCTTTCACATTGGTGGTATTTAAAAATATATTTGATATTTGTGCAATGTTACTGTTAGTTACTTGGCAACTTAAAAGTGAAACATGTCAGACTTATCATTATCTTTTAAAGATGTGATTTGTAATGTAAATGTAAACATTCTGTGAAGCAGAAATCCACAAACATTCATTTATTCTTGATAATGAAATTACTTGACATAAACAACTGTTTCTTTTGTGAATTTTAATAAAAAATAAAGTTAACTACTCTCTTTTTTCCCCCCACGCAGACTGCATTTTTGGATGAGAGAGGTCTGCACAACAAGTCCAAGTCTGTCAGGAGCAGAGTATCCTATCTATTTTCTAGATTCATCAAGGGAATTAGGTACTTATTGATCTAATTTATCAGCGCACTGTTAAACGAACATAGTACAAAATATACTTGCATCGGGAAAATTGATTCTGTAATAGTTGATTGATTGAAATTTGTGAAGATTGGAGCAAATTTCATAACCAGCACAGTAAGCTGTCACAACTAACACAATCAGTTATCTTAAAAAACAACTGTCACTTTTCATCATCTGACAATTATGTATTTTGTTCTATTTTAATCTGTTGAAAATGTATATTATTATAACATTATGATACAGACATCTGTTAGAAAATCAGAATTAAAGAAAACAACTTGAATCAATATGATCTAGGGCACATGTCCAGAGCTATGAGAATGTCCAGGAGATCCTGACCCGGATAGCTGATCTGCTGGTCCTGAACACTCCAGACAATGGTCTGCAAATTTCCTTGACCAGTGTGGACAAGCTGTTCATGTATGAGACGGCCGGGACAGTGATAGTCTCGGGTTATTTCCCACCAGAGGTCAGTATGGGGGCAGTGCATGGTATTCCCCTCCACTTTTTACCTAACTCATATCATCAATTATATCTTTCTTATGCTTAAAAAAACTTGAAAACTTAAAGCACATAAGGCATATTTTTGATTAATGTAAAGATTGTTTTAGTCCAAGGGAGATTTGAAGCATGTGGTGTCTTTTTGCCATCTTATAATTAATTTCATTAAAAGGATTTATCAAAGAATGTGAAAAATTTCTTAGAATGACTCTTAATCAGCAGAGCAACAGGGGATCATTTGAACATTTGTTTAAGTAGGCATGAATCTCAGAATAGTTGCCTTCTTGTTTTATACAACTGATGCAGTATTTAATTTACTCAATTTATACAGTTTTTGATGCAGATTCATTATTTGATTCATTGTTTATTCAGAAAAAGGCAGAGTTGATGAAGGCCCTTCTAGCCCCCATCGTCAGCAAGTTTGACAGTATTTACTCCAAAATGTGTGCAGAGACGGATGAAACAAAACAGTTTGGCTTTGCCCAGTCTCTAAGCCATGCTATGAATTTTGCAAGGTGGGTTATATATGATGGATTTTCAAAAGAATACTTTACTTTACTTTACTTTATTAAAATTGTTTTAAAAGTAGCTTGAAAATGCATATTCATTTGTGGAGTATAGGATCAAAAAGATTCAAGGCCAGACATATTGATAACTGTACTTGTAAAATTTTGATTTTATACAAAATAATACACCTGAAAGTTAAAATCCTATGTAACTCTCCAGCCCTACTAATAATAAAGCTCGAATTCTGTGTTGTGGTTTTCAGTCGTGCCAGTAAAGCCTTCTCCAACCAGCAAACAATGCGACAGTGCAGCTGTGTCGAACCGTTCACAGAGACACTGCAGATCTTCCTGCATGTGCTGAACACCCCGTGTCATCGCCAGCTGCTCCAGACGGGTGTGCGCCAGTACCTGCATCGCATGGTGGTCTGTCTAGAGAGTGAAATTCTCCCCTACGTCCCCCTGGCTATGGAGCAGCTGCTGAAAGACGCGGAGGCCAAAGAGTTGTACGACTTTCTGCCTCTCATGAATCAAGTGATATCCAAGTTCAAGGTCGGTTTGACAGCATTGTTGATGGGTTTTCAATGAAATATTTTTGTGTTGAATATATTTGTATGCAATTATTTGTACAAATCGATGCTTGGATATGACAGTTTGTTCTTCCCCTTGTTTAACAACATGATAGTTCAGTTTTTGATTTTTTTTTTTTTTATGAAAAAATGTGAAATCAAGATTCCACCTCTCTATCCATTTAGCACAGGTTTATTCAGATATGAAATTCAAAGTTACACATTTATTTTTACAGAAAGAAATTGTCCCCTTTCTCCAACAAATCTTCATGCCTGTGGTGACCACCATCTTCCAAGCTCTCAACAAACCCTCGGACCAGTTGGATCAGATAGCGGCCGCGGAGAAGAAATTACTGCACAAAGGATACTTTGGTTTCATCAGTACTATTCTTAACCAAGATGTAGCAGAAATATTAACTCTACAAGGTGAGATTTGCTGAAGAGGTCATTTATGACAGAGTAAGAAACAGGAGTAAAATGCTATAATTCCAACAGGATTGTTCTAAACTAAGAGAAAGCTGAAAGACTAACTCACAAAGTTGCATATCACTGAGGTGTTTAATGTAATTAGTGACATTAGAAATGGACATCTGTGTGTCTGTTGTTATTGAAATTTTGGCTTTGATTTGTTGAACTAGAAGTTTACTGAACAGATAAATCTCATAACAAATGTCAATGATTAGCTAGTGTTGCTTACTTTATGGGTGATGAAGTTTATACTGGGATGAAAAGAGATTTGCCAGGTTTACAATGAGTCAGAATGTTTATAACATCATAACATCATGTAAACATTTATATGATTTTATGAGTTATTATATTGGCATTATAGCAACAAAAATAAAAATTAAAATTAAATAATAAGAAGAAGATTAATAAAAAGATTTATAAAAATAAGGTTAAAATTATTATCTTCCAGAGAGCCACAATTTATACAACATACTGGTCACAGTTGTACAAGGTGCTGTGGACTTTCCTGATCCTTCTGTAAGTTATGGTTCATAATATAACTTGAGTTATACTCAACTTTTAAACTAGAATTTTACTTGAGTTCAACCCAAGATACATCAGTTATAGCCTTGATTCTGAATTGATATGCACCAAAATTAGGTCCGAAGTTTTTTTTCAAGCTGTACTCTGAAAATTTGGTCTAATAGTAGTGGGAGGAATTCTTGTATGTCTCTCATTTGGATATGGGTGATTAAAAAGTCTCTGTTTTGTGAGGAATTGAAGGGCATTTGTGTTTATATAAACCATATTGTGTCATCTGATGAAACAAGATATTCATTATACCATTTATTTTGGTTGTCTTATTTATTTCTCTCTTTATTTTAGGCACAAAAGTTGTGTTTTCAGATTTTAAAGAAGACAATAGAACTTTGGGGTATGTATATGGTTTAATTTGACCATTGCTACCACATTGTATATTATTAAATTTTTTAAATTCTTTAGTGCAGGGAAATTTGTTGTAGATGTTAGTTTTTTATTTTATTTTATTTTATTTTATTTTTTGACCAGCTGTAAAGTTATTGCTTGAAGCACAGCTTTGATTTTATATTTTGACTTGGCAGAGTTATGACTTGATTTTAACATGAAAATTGTGATGTTAAGTCATTTAAATGGTTTTGTTAGTTCAAAATGTAATAAAAAGTTCTGCATTCTTTTTAGGTGACCCTGGAAGCTTGTCGGGTTTTGAAGATTTTATTTACAAAAATGTTGTCCCAGCTTGTTTTATGGCCCCCATGAAGAGCACGTTTGACCTGAAGGATGCGCAGACTGTATTGGTGAGTGCTGCCATCTATTGATGAAGTTGAAAGCAAAAGTGTTCATTGGAATAAAGTCTGTCATAAATTTCAAGCATGTTACATATTTTATGACTATAACTTAATTTGACATGTGAAAGTGGAATGTAGTATTTTTTTAATGTGTTTCTAAGTAACAATAATATATTTGATATTAAAAAGAAGAAGGGAGTAAAGGCATAAAACATTTTTTAATTTTCAGGCTTTAGGGGAAAGTGGATTGGTGCTTAAGACTGTTTTGGAAAAAAGGGTATGTGTAATTTAATTATTATTTTCTTATAAATTATATTTTGTTTTTGATAGTGATATTGCCATCCAGAGTGATAATAATATGAATGTGCAACTACAATATTTTATGATTTTGAGGTAACTTGTGGTGTTTTTATTTGTACTCAGAACTTATTTAAAGCTGAAAAATCTTTGATGGATGTTCATTTAGTGCTCTAATCATTTTGCCAAGCTAATCTCCAAAGTGTGCTATCCATATTATATACAATCTCTATCCAACAGGGTGATGAGTTTGTTGTTTTCCTGCAAACCAAATATCTCCCAGAGGTCAATATGACTCCAGAAACTATTCAGGTAGGTAGTCATAATGCTGTGATATTTATCTATGTGGTCAGTCATGATTCTTATTATTGTCTCAATGTCAACATGACCAGTGCAGGGGTATTTTGATATTAAACTGTACTGGCTGGAGTGACTAGGGGCTGTTGTAGAATTTATTGCCTCTGTCGCAATCTTGAAACATTTTGCGAACTGCTTCCATTTCTACGCCAGGTTCTATTAGGCCTAGATCTTAAAGTTGTGAATAACAAGAATGCAAAGAATGAAGTGTAACACACATAGTTGGTGTGTAATATAAAGATATTTTAAATTCTTCCAGGAATACACAGAAGCTTTGAAGTCGGACCCAAAAATATTCAAATCATATTTAAAGGTGAGTGACAGAAGCAGGTCTGTAGGGAGGTGGGTGTGGAGAGTGTTTGTGTGTGTGTAGGTGTGGGAGATGGGGGGTGGGGGCAAGAGAAGTGGTCTTCTTGGAGATCTTTTTAGTGGTGGTGGATTTCATTTGTAACAAACATGTACAAGTCTTAAATTTTTTCAAATTATAAGATCAAAACTGTGCTGGGTACAAATGTGTTGATTGTGGCATTGCATTAATTTTTATAAACAAAAGCTTTACTTTTACTTGATAGTTACACTTGTTAATTGAGCATTCTCCTTACAAGAATTGAAGTTATTTATCTAATATTCTATTCCAGGCATTCTTTGCAAGGTTTAAATCCTGACCGAGGCAGGGACACCTCTCCATAAAGCCATCATGCATTGTATATAGACCATTGATAATCATATCATCGTGCCATAAGCCCAGTTCCAAGATACATGTTTAGGAACTCTAGGGACCTTTAAGTCAGTAGGATTATGTTACATTCTGATAGAACCTTCTGTATGACCATGGAGATGCCATTGGCCACATCGAGTTTTGTTTACTTGGATTGCTAGTTAAACTAGAACCGAGATGTTCTTGCAAAAAATTTTATTTTGTGATGGTTAATTTATTTTGAAATGCCTTCAGAGGAATTAGTGTCATTTTATTTTATTTATTTATTTATTTTTTAATTTTTTTTTAGTGTTTGAGCCATTTAGGGTCATTCTTGAATTGCTGATCTTAATATTTATTGTAGTCATACATAGCTAGATGAATTGAAGTAAATTAAAACATTGATGTGTATCAAAGGCAAAAGCTGTAGTATTTTTAAAGAATTCCGTAGATCAGAATATATTCAGGGTAAGGCTGAAATTTCCTGTATGATAGTAATCTTGGCTATTTCACATCGAATATGACTTGTTTCAGGGAACAAAGTGCCAGTAACTTCAGTTGGACAGATTGAAAAAAAATTCAGATTTTTGTCGTTCGTTTTTCTACCAGATATTGAGCCATAAATTATCATGTGGCAGCATGGCATGATATTTATGATAATAGCAATGATATTTTGTTGAAATTGGATGCCTTTTGAGGAATTGAAAGTATGTAAAATTTGAATTTTTTCCATCCACCTGATGGAAAAGAATTTTCATAAGTAATTTGTACTGAAAAAGAAACTATAATACTTGGATATCTAGCCTCAAGCTTTATTTGGAGTTGAGAAAAAGTTAAAATTCCATTAATTTATTCTTTTACATTATTGTGTTGATTTAAGACTGGTTTTATTTTTCAGGAATTTAAATGTTTGAAACTTAACATCTGAGACGAAGTAATAGTGCTTTTGGTGTTTTTCACAATTTTTTAAAATCTGTTATCTAGTTAAAGAAAAAGGATATTTCTTTACTTGTTTTAAGTATCACAATTGTCGGGTCAAAGCTTTTAAAGTTTTGTGTTGTCAGATATACTATTGTCATTGAAGTTTTCTTTGTTAAAATAAGATCACACAATTTGTTTCATTGGCTTTTTAAAAGTATTTATCACTGAGAATTTTCCCCTTCAGAGCAGAGTTGTTGACTCTCTTTTTAATTTTCAAGGTGCAATAAAATACATCAGGTGGGAGGGGGTGTGGCATGGCCTTTTCACTTCTGAAACACGAATACTGCTGTATGTATTTAAAACGATATCCCATTTGAAATTCCCAACTGTCATGTAATAAGTCGAAGTGGTAACGATATCAGGTCCAGCAAAGACTCGTCGGCTGCTTTATACATTTTAAGTTATAATATCGGTTTCTTCAAATATTCTTGGAATATTCGGATAGTAGTATCCCGGATTTTAGTTGTTATTTGAAGGAAAAATTATTGTAACATTAACAAACAAGGTATCCAGTTAGTATAAGGAAGGAGGGGTTATTGCTGTTTTTGGATCAATCACTGAACACGTGACCTTGCTCCATATTGTACTATTATTATTATTAAACGGCAATCTGGAACATTCACTTGAAAGCGCATGTGCTTCTGTTTATTTTTACTAATTGGAATAAAATTCTATAATTACTCGTTTTCGTCTCTTTTTCTAGTTCAAATAGTTCAACGTTACAGTGTCTGCGGCATTTTCAGAGGACTACGAGAGAGTTCCTATGAATTATCATGGAAATAGAGAAGGTTGAAGGAAGAGGCGTGACTTGCCGACTGCCGTCGATTCAGTAATAATACGTGATCACATGGGACACATTGATGCAAGGCGTGAGTGGTTAGTGCAGCGCTTCTAGTTCATACTCTTTTTCTGTACGAGGCCTGATCAAGTGGTGAAATGACAGTTCGTTTTGCTGAACAGTGTGAAATTCAAAATTTCAAGCCTAATTTAAATTGCTCAAATTATGACAGCAAATGAGGCGAAAAGAAAATGGTTAAAATGATGCGCACGAGGTGAGAGTAGCGTCCCGGATCGCCATGTTCGAAGTCATCCACATATCATTTAAAAAGTTAAAGAGAATATATTAATGTGATAGAACTGCTACTAAATGATGCGACAAGAACACCCTGACATTTAAATAGAGTCCTCGGTGATTGAAAGAACGTCAAATCCAGAAATTAAAAGTTTAAGGAGTGGGGGCGAGGAAACGCGCTCACCGAGTTCTACATATAAATTGTCCACGGCAGGTGTGTTTGGTAAATGCTCACCTGGATAAACTGGACACGATTTCTCCTTCCTTGTATTTCGGACTAATAGCACTTAATAATTGAGTTTCTACCGCAGGAGAGATAAAGCGGATTAGCGCGCCGGTTAAACAGCTACAAATAGAGCCGCGTAATGATATAGACATTCACCCGCAAATAACAAGTCAAGTTTTTTTTCCAGATAACAAGTACTTTTCACAATTCCAAAAACGGCCAATAGGAAAAGAAATATCCCAGGTGAACCAATGCAAACGAATGCCCGACAAAAATTACAGAATTTATTGTTTGTCTTAGGACGAAAAATCGGTAGATTAGGAAGTATTGCTACAAGCATGCCGCAGACCTTAGTCTTGGAAAGAGGCAAGTTTTCTCATTCATACGTTTATTTTCCAAACATTGATAATATATTCCCGGCAACCCTCACGACGCTTGGACAAACTGGGCAAAACAACCCATCAAGGTAACTAAGTAGCATTTAAACTTGCGTCACGAATTAATATAGCGCGACGCGTTTCTGAAACTTTCGCAGTGCGAAGAACAAAGGATTTTGTATTTCGTTCTTAAAATCGACAAGAAATCATATACAGAATACAAGCTAAGAGCTTAAAACCTAGGACACCGACTGGGAAAGTTATCCCTGGGAAGCCTTCAAGAACCATGAAGCTTTTCGCGGTACTTTTCCTGGCCTTGGTACTCTATGGCGATGTCGCGGCGGGGAACATACCAGATGCCAACGTGGTCAAAAACACCTGGGTTCCGAGCCTGAGTTCCAGGATGACCAACTTCGCAGAGAAGCAGCTAGGGTCTCTACAGCTACAGAGGCTATACGACCAGAGAGTCATGTACAAGACACAACGGGTGGATGGTCAGGCCAAGATCGACGAACTGGTCAAGAAGCTGGACGACAGGCTGCAACAGGCCACGACCAACCTTGCAGCCATGCAACAGAAGATTCAGGGGTTGAATATGGTTCACGTGCCAGTCTCCATCCCTGGTTGCTGCCAGGCGCCGAACCCAGGGAAAATGAACTCCCGATTTAAACAAGTCGTGAGTGATCCTTTTCAAAAGGGCTGCGCTGAAATCCAAGACTCCACCAAAGGGTTTTTATGGCCAATGATGAAAACGGACCTAGATGCAAACTTGCAAAATACAAAACCGCTGACTTGGCAGTATTACGGAGACAAGTATGGCAACTACTACCAGTACCCCACCGGTGTCCACTCCAAGTTCTGTCCGGCGGGGAAGTACGATGACCACAGATTTAGGTGGGTTCAGAGCACCATGATTGTTCTCCTACGAACGTGAATCTTTCAATCTCAAAATCTAGATTGGTTTTTAAAATACTGATGGTTCGGCTAAAGACAGAAAAGGTCGGGGGAGGGGGGGGGGGGTTGTGGAGGGGGGAGTTAAGTTTAGTGAGGTATTCTAAGGAAATATTGGCCTAAAAATATAATTTTCGTTAGTTTTCCGTCAACTCCAATGAGATACTCTGCTGCTGATTGGTGGTTGAATGTGAATTACACTTTAAATGACTTGAGAATACCATTCTGGTCTAAAATTAAATAAATTAATCAATTATAAAAAGAAAGAAAAAACGGGTGCCATAATGGCTAAAATCAAAAGGCAGTAAGTCCTAGTATATGTAGTTATAATGACAAATAAAATTGTGTAGCTGAGAAAATATTTTCTACAAGTAAGTGAAAACAGTTTGATCCTATCATGAACGCTAGACCAAAGTTTTGATAGAAACATTTGAAAAACACGTCTGATTTTGGGATTGGCGAGCACGTAGACTGGTACACAGTTGAGCTATTGACAAGATATTCACTGTAAAAATTACTTCTTTTGTTGCATTAGGAACTGGTACGTGAATACAGCGTCACCAAAGAAGAAGAACCTGGTGATTATTGTGGACGAGAGCTTCTCCATGGACCGCAAGGTGGACTTTTTTGACTGGAATTCCCCAACGCGTCTTGAGATTGCCAAGGAGGCCGCTAAGACTGTACTGCAAACTCTGAGTTCAGACGACTGGGTGATTTATATTTATATTTATTTATATTAAAATGAAATAATTTTTAGAAAAACGAATGTTCCATTTTAATAGATCCACAGTCTTTATCTTTATTTAATGGTTTTTCTGCTGACTTAATCACATTTAAAAAGGGAAATTTTTGTGATTCGATTCAAAATGAACATTCTTTCAGTAATTATAAAGATCCAGTGAAGCTTCTTTAGACTTTTATTTATCTCTCAGTATCTTTGTTGTGTTGTGAGCTATTACTGTACTCAGTGGTTTCCAGTGTGTTTGACAAAATATACAGTGTCAAGAGTACATAAATATGTAATAAGGATTTGCCACTGTCACGTACATGATTTTATGTAATTGTTTCTTTATTGTTATAGGTGGGCACTGTAGCATTCAGTGATTATGCCAGGAGTCCTCCCGGCTGCTTTGGAGACCATGTGGCCCAAGCCAACGATATCAACAAGCAACACTTGGTGAAGTTTATTGATGATATCAAGCCTATGTGTGAGTGAGCATATCAGCTTTTAAGCTGATTATGTATTGATTATGACTTGACATGACATACATGAAATGACTTAAGTGTGACATAACATTCATGACATTGGCATACATGGCAACAGGGTACCCTCTACCAGGGCCACAGTTATTAATCATACTGTGGACATTTTTTGCTGAGGCGACATCAGACCAAAATAACTGTAGTCTTATATTTATCTAGAGAAATATCTGTGAATATCTGTGAAAAATCAATCTGTCGCCCTGGTAGAGGGTAGCAACAGGGTGCAGCTAGATCAGGATTTTTACTCACACTCGCCAGAGTTGTCAAGTTGGCCGAAAATTGCACTTTTACACATAGTACACCATGCCATGACATACACTGCATGACACTCATGCCATGACAAGTAACATGACATACATGTCGCAAAGTGTGACATGACATACATGACATGACATTAATATATATATATGACATGTGACATGATTTGACATGACAGTTTAAGATATTTTAACTCCTCCCCCCCCCAAATCACATTGGTTTGAAGTTTTCTAATGCCAGATTGGAATTAGTATTTGTCTTTAAAGTGAGTTATCTGGTAAATTTATAATAAATGTGCAAGTAATAGTTTCTTAATTAGAGATGATATTTGTGACTAGTAATTTAGAGAATTACAGAAGAAAATAAATTAAACATTGTAATGGATGATATTACAATTATTATTTCACATTTCTTTATTTCATTGCCACAAGCTTCTTCATTTCAGCCTCTACAATGTATTCATCTGGACTTAATAAGGCATTTACTATGCTTGAAAACGGAAAGAAAAAGAATTTGGTTGGTCCTTGTGATATGTGTGTGTTTTATGTGTTGAAATGTTGGCTTCGGGAGCTGGGAATATACTGGCAATGAGAATATATTTACTGTTTCTATCCCATCCATGTCAGAATTACTAGTATGTACACAAACACATATACTCACTACAGGAACACTCACACAGTGCTTGACATTAACAGTTTTCACTCACTTTAGTTGCTGTTGGTCACAACCAGGCCTGGATTGGTTGCTCTGCTCTGAATTAGGAATTTCAAAATTGAAAGTAAAATTTAGTTTGAGACAATTTTCCCTTGATTTTATTCGCCAGCTCCCAGAAAAAAGTTCATTTTTTCCCAAAGTTTCATCTGTCAATAAATAATATTCACTTAAACTACAAGTTTTATATATCTAGGAAAAAATTACAACACATTCACATGCCTATATACATGCCACAAACTCGCAAACAATCAAAATGCCTGGGTACAGTAAAATTGCGTTTTTGCACACATCAATTTTGTACCATTTTGCATTGGGCTGCATGATTTCTGGATTGCTTCTGTGTGAACTGTCTTTGTTCCTGTTGTTATTGCATGTGCCAGGAGTGGATGCTTCACATGAAACCAGCCACCTTGGCTTTCTGTGTCGTCTCACTGGGCCTGTTCAGACACTGACAAAGTTGAACCGAAAATTTGGGCAGACTTGTGTTATCTGACAGCCAGATCCAATTGAGGTCTCTGAGGCCCAGTAGGGCTTCCATTCTTTAAAAATTTCAAATTAAATTTTATTAAAAATATCTTTAATGGACCTCTGCCATCAGTGACCTTTGGATACTCAATATTTTAAATCATGGTATAGTGATCTGGTTGTACGTGAGTCACAGAGTGAAAGAGTTTGCCCAATTTTATGCCTACAACAGCCTGTGTCAGATCAGACCTATTGTCTTGAATTTCTTGCTGGATTTGCAGACCATTGCTATACATGTTTGTGTTTTTGTCTGTTGCAGCTTCAACAATTTATGCCTCCGGACTTGAAAGAGCTTTTGAGAACTTGTTCAAAGCTAAAACTGCCAACCCGGTAGGGTGCCTTTTTAAGTACTCTGTCTTCCATCTTCTACATAAACACAGAAGTACTACAATGATTCTGAATATTAGAATACTATAAATCTCATTTCTTTTGGAAAACAATGTGTAAAGTCTGTCTGGCATTTAATAGGTGAGGAATAAGGTTATGGAAAATAGTTGGCATTATGCTTAAGCTAAAAATGAACTAGTTTCAGAAACTTTCTAGATTTCTGTTCATGCAGATATCTAATTGATCCACTTATGAAGGTGGTGAAATATATTTGAAGAATTTACTGACCTTTAAAGAAGACAAATCTAAGACATATTGGTATCAAAATCAGGGACTATAATTTTTTCTTACCTGTTTGAATATAAATCAATATGGAGAATATTATGTATAATATTTTGCAGTACCTAATGAACATTTTGGATGCTTACGTCATTCAAGCTCTTTTGATAAAATATCAACTTTACAGCATTAATTTTTGGCATGTGACTCCCCCTTTCCTTTACATCTTTGAAAAGAGCCCATTGTGTATTTTCACTGAAATATGCTGGTGATTGTCCTTTTTTTTTTTACAAACAAACGCCATTGCATGTTAGTAGGCATTTCTTTCCAGCTTAAACAAATTGGATTCTTTTGTCTTTACTGTTCATGCTTTTGATGTTGGAATATTTTTATGTAAATGATACAAACACTTAATTATTTGTACAAGTAACTAACATTCACAAAATTAGTTCAAGGATTATGACAGATGGTTAATTTGTCTGAAAAGTGGCATTTAAATAGGTTATCTTTGCAAATTAAATTTGTACCTTAGTGCTTAGAAGTTCTTTGAGTTTGAAACATACTTTAAGCTTCATTTTATTCTTTGATAACAAAATCTTTATGTGTTTGAGAAATGCATGGGCTTAAAAATTGATTCTCTTACTTTAATGTGCCTAATATTTTTTCCCTCAGCAACAATTTGAGAACTCTCTGGACATGATCTTGTTCCTGACAGATGGCGCTCCCAAGGACAAACCAAGGTCAAAGGTCATGGAAGCCATTGTGGACGGGCAGAAGAAAATGGTGTGGGGCTTAATTATCGTCAATTTTCTAAAATGTCTTTTTGAAAAACTGATTTGGTACATCATGTGCTAACAATAACCAACAATGATTTAATTAAGTATTCAATTCATATTAAGACCAAAGTTAAATATAATATATACAGTATATTAGTTACATTTTCATGACTTTCATTTTTTAAACCTTTCATTTCATTACTATTCAGAACAACACTGTCCATCTTCTTCTGTATGGCTTTGGTGATGATGTAGCCAGGGATTTCACTTCGCAACAGTTTCTGCTCAACATGGCTGACCAGAACCAGCGTAAAGTCAAATACACCAGCACCATCAGGAGCAGGACTCAGGGACTTGTTACCAAACACCTTGTTGGAGAAAAGTGGGATGTGAGTATGACTGTGGAGGTAGAAATTAAGAGGGGAGGAGGGGGTAAGGAGTGAAGGAGGAGGTTGGGAAAGCAAAGACAAGGAGAAGAATGAGGTAGAGGTTAAGGAGAAGGTAGGGGTAGAAGGCAATAGGTGGAAGATGGGGAGGTGGGGGAGTGAGAATTAAGGAAGTATAGGAGGAGGAGGATAATGAAGTAGAGGGAGGTAGAGGAGGAGTTCTAATGGAGGAAGGATATGGATGAGGAAATAAAGGGGGTAGTTAAGGGAGGAGGTGGGGAGGGGGGAAGTTGGGGAAGAGGAGGTAGTGGGAGCAGGGTGCTTCAAGTTCAGATTCTTAATTTTAAAACACTACAGTGTAACATGTGTTTAAAAGCACAGTGTGGGAAAGGCATATTTTCCCTAAAGGCTTAATTTTTAATTTCATATGTCTTGTTTTACCTTATATCCCCAGCCCTATCCTGCAGCAGGATTTGATGGCTCTCAGCCAGCAGGTCCACCTGGAATGATCAAAATCATAGGAGACAGCCAGTACAAGGAGCTGAAGACTATCATGAGCAGCTACTACAACTTCTTTCCAATATGGGACGAGCAGAACCCCACTGTGACCGTCCCTTTCCTGGATAAAAATCATGGTATGAGACTGCAGAGTATAAATGAATGCATATATATATATCTTATATATAAAGTTTTAGAAATTTTGACATTTTAAAGATTTTTTTAAACATCTTATACCTTTTCTTCTTGGTTGTTTTTAGGCAGGTTTTGATTTGCCCACTGTAAGCTTTTACGTTTACATCTGTGCCTGAATTGACATGGATGCATATTTTGGCAAAAAGAAATAGAAATAACTTTCTCCATGGCCTGTCAATCTTGGGATTGTTTTCTGTTCAAGGTCTGGTCACAACTATGGGACTACCTGTAGTCAACAAAATAGATAACACCTTGTCCGGAGTGGTAGCCTTTGACATGCCATTGCAGATCATGTTCTCAGACATAAGCCAGTACAAGATTGGAACTCACAGCTATGCTTTCCTCATAGGAACAGACGGTAAGGAAATGGCAGTCTGCTTAAAAGGCCATCTGCTTAATAAATTTCATTAGCAATTTTGACTGTTATACATGTAAGTGTGTTATTGTAATGTAAGATGCCAGTCTTTGTCACCACGACTGCAGCATCACAGCTATAACTGTACATAACCTAACCCTGAAAAACTGAATATAATTGACAGAGTCTAAACATCTTCCCTGCTTGCCATGATAATGTTACAATGTACACTGTACTATTCTGTATAACAGAGAGTCACCCTCCATTAGATTTATGATGCAGGTAAGGGTTAGTTTGATGTAATTAAGTTGTTAAAAAAAGGTTGGGGCTTACTTTTGCAAATCGATGGAGATTATATATTAGACTCTAGGCAGACTTAATTGCAGTCACTTTCCTTCTTTGTAATGACGCATTAAATTAATATAACAAACATTCTATGCCAGGTAAGGTCTTGATGCACAGGAACTTACCTCAGCCTAAGGACTACACCAGTAACCCATTGTTTGTGGACCTCTCTGCCCTGGAACCCACGCTGAGTGAGGAGGCCAAGAAAAATATTCTGAGGGGAATCCCAGGCTTTGATAAACAGCTGGTGAGATGGGAGAGTCTTCATGAATTTAATATATACATATTAATGATTGATGTGGTTATGTTTCATGTTAACTTTGGATGAGAGAAAGGTTAACTTAAGTCCCAGTTCATATTGTGGTTAACTAAATATTTTACTCTAAATAAAGGAATAATTTTCTGTATTACCTTACTTGTTCATCCATACTCTATATCCAAATGGACTTGCAAGTATTTTAAGGCAACAGTATATTTGATGAAATGGTGAACTGCACATTGTGCTCTACCATTCTATCTACCACAATAACATTCTGACAGTATCACAGATTGTGCTCTATCACATCTAACACAATATCACATTTTCAGGTGAATCTCCCTGTGTCTAGAGGCAGCAGCAAATTTGATGGGGCAGTCAACTATAAACTAAATGCCACATACTTCTACAAGCCACTGCCAGGGTCCAAAGGTCAATACACAGTGGGTCTTGTACTGTTTGATATGGACATGTTGCAGAAAATACCAGAAGAGGTGACTTGTTATTTCTGGGATCTTAAACATTTGGGACTTGGATCCCACTGCTGTATTTAATGCGCTAAGTGAACACAGAGTTTCATACATTTTATGACATAAAAGATTTCATTGCCGAAAGACCACAGGGAGAGGACAAAGACACCGAATACTCTGTCAAACTCAGCCACATGCTACATATTATTTGGTTTTGTGATAACAATAAAGAGAGTGTTTGCTAAAAATTAAATGTGTTAAAATAAAAATGAAGTTAAACTTACATATATTGTCATATGTTTGATGTCAGAAGGCAATCTGGTGGTGGTTTTGTGTCCTGTCTGAAAGAAATACTGATATTGCTTGGAACTGGCTTTTAGTACAGGGGATATTGTAAACATATATAAAGTACACTGTAAAATAGTCTCACTGTTATAAAATCTTTCCAGAAAGCAGGTACTACGTCAGGGCAACACTCTAGTTATCATCGCTTGGACCTGAAGGCAAAGCTGATTAATAAGACAGAGGAGATCTGCCAGAGATATGGAAGCTTTTCTTCCGTGGACTCCACAGTCAAGGTAGATAACAGAAATTCATGTGTATAATAAATTCTGTATGTGTTTTGATAAGCTTTACACTGAAGCATTTAAATCTCACCTAACACATTTTATGTTGTATTTATAGTTTGCTCCAGAAGCATTCATATCTCACCTAACACATTTTGCATTGTGTTTAGTTTGCTCCGGATGCCTTCAAGGACCCAGACAAGTACCTACAGGAGGTAGAGGCCATTAACAATGTAAAAGACTTGGAAAGTTTTCTCCATTCATCCAGTGTTACTAGTAATAATGGTAAGGAACTAAGTTTTTTTCAGTCCTGGGGATTTTTGATAGTTTTAGTGTTTGTTATGTAAATTATAATATTTTTCCAAGAATGAATGATAACCTAGCAACTACAGTATTTCATTTCACCAAAGTATAATTGATTAACAAACATTGTTTTTTTTAGAAAGTACCACTGTGTTAGCTTTGGCATAATAGATAATGATGATTATAATAATGTAAATTAATGCTTTTTCGACCAGATCTAAGGGATTGTTTGTTTAGGGAATTCTTTTTGTTAATATCCATTTCTTTTTTTTTCCAGATTTGAAAGATTATGTGAAAACTGATGTAATTATGACTGCAGAAATGGAAAAATACTGGAAGAAAACACCTGAATCTGTATGGAGGTATGGATACTCCAATCCCCCCTCCCCCCTCCCCCCCCCCTCTCTCTCTCTCTCTCTCTCTCTCTCATTGTTAACTAATAATTATTATCTACAGATGGGACAATATTATGAAATTATAATCTTGGCTGCATCACTATTTTTAACTCCAAGTTCATCTCTTTCTCGTACACTTCACTCATTTTCTCATGAAATACCTTAATTTTGCATTTCTTTTCTTCAAGACTGAGGCTTGTTAATTCTATTCCAGATACATCGGGACAGAGACAGGTGTCTTCCGTGTGTTTCCAGGCTTTGTGGCAGACAAGACATACAACCCTGTTGAGCATGCGTGGTACAAGCGCGCCATGAGTCGCCCCGAGGTGTACACGTTCTCTAGACCTGAGGCTGGGAGTCTTGGAGACAAGAACTTAGTCACAGTCAGCAGAGTGTTTTACCAGGGCAGGTAAATCTTATTTAATAGATGCAACATAAAACAGCATGGTTCACTGATGAGACTTTTCCGACTTTTGTCGGAATTCCGACTTTTTTAGGGTCGTTTGGGTCATTCTTGTGAATCGTGTACCCTGGACTCTGGGCCAGTTTTCCTACTTCTACAGTGGAACTGGTCTCATCCCTGATGGCTCTATAGAAGGCTGCATGGGGGAGGGGGAGGGCTGGTGGATGGAGGGGGGGGGGTGGATTTCTTGTTGCACCTTCCAGAGATTTTGAAAAAAATTTTTTAATGGTGTATATTACCAGCTAATATTTTTGGATTCTAATGTTTCATTTGAAGCAGTTAAATTGTGATAGTGAACATATATTTCACTAAGTTATAGCTGGGTGGTATGTCTTTGTTTACAGTAGGAATGGCCTTCACGATCCCAGTGACTATCTGGCTGGTGTGACGGCTGCAGACATTACCGAGCATTACTTTGAGGCATTACTGATGAACTCAATCCCAGAATGCGGCACTGGGCAGTATGAGTGTTCACTATTGGATGACAGTGGGTGAGAATACAACTGATTATTGTACTGATGCTATTTACTGGTACTAAAAGTTAAACCTTCATACACCAATATATTGTGGAAGTTTTATTGAAATCTGTCACTTATCAATAGATTTTTCATTTTAATTTTAAAAATTGTATAATTGCAGCTACTTCATAGAATCATATGCGACAGGAAACGTTAAACAGGTTCAACACCAGCACTTGACTGAGAGGTTGCCGTGGCTGGGGGAGTATCTTACCAACAAGGGAACTTTCCTCAAGGTAATGGACCTGGGGTGAATTCTTAAAACTACCTTGCTGACTCTGAAAATAGTTTTTCCTTTTATAAAGAAAAATCCTAAAGGTATGTGACCCAAAATAAGTATAGTGTTCTTCCTAAGTCTGCTCTAATTATTGTCAAAGCATATTGTAAGTTTATGTAATTACTAAAACATGTTGGGCAGATTTCGCATGGCTGTGTTTACTTTGATTTTTAGATAATGGGCTCATAAATGAAGTTAACCCTTAACTGCATAAAACCATTAGTATTTATGGAAATATTTAAAGAAAACCCAGAAACCATAAATATATATACAATGGCAGTCGTAACCATGACTTATGAAAGTGATACATAAAGCATTTAAAATTGCTTAATTGTAGCCCACTTGGTGCAGTAGTGTTGCAGATCACAAGGCTCAAATGTTCTACGACACCAGTGACTTCCGCTTCACCAGCAGCTCCCCAAGTGAGAACACCAGATGTCGCCAGTTTGTGCTGGCTGCAGTGAATGGCACCAACACGTTCCTGCTAGTGACTCCAAAGGGCTGTCCCACTGGGCTGAGTGCTGGAGGGGTGAGTAGCCAGTGTGTTAGTTGTGACTCCAAAGGGCTGTCCCACTGGGCTGAGTGCTGGAGGGGTGAGTAGCCAGTGTGTTAGTTGTGACTCCAAAGGGCTGTCCCACCTGGCTGAGTGCTGGAGGGGTGAGTAGCCAGTGTGTTAGTTGTGACTCCAAAGGGCTGTCCCACTGGGCTAGGCTTTTTTTGTGAGTATCTGAAGATGATGAATCAAGAGAGGTTTAATCCTAGAAAATACTAGCTAGGTATTTGAATTTGAATTCAGCATGATGATTGAAATTATTTGAGCACCGTTTTGTAGAAGTTTACTTTATTATATCTTTTTTGTATTCAAGAAAATCTCTCTTTCAGAGTTGTCTGTGTGCAGATTCCTGTACCCTGTGTGACAAGTTCCTGGCCTTCTGTCAGGTGAGCACTGGTGGTCTAGTTTTCTCAGTTATTCTACTCCAAGCATGAGGGTGATAAAGGCTGATATATGTTTTGATGTTGTCTATAAATACAAGATCTAGATGATGTATGATAAGCATATTAGTGAATATAAAGTCCTATTTAGATACATGCAAATTCAAAAAATTCACTAATACTACAAATAGTCTGGAGATTTTCTTTATCAGGTTCAGGCTATAAGCATTGTTTTGTAAAAGCAGATAAAAACTACATGTATGTGGGAAAAACATGTTCTGATAAAAAAGTGCAATCACGCTGCTTCTTGTGATTTAGTGTCCATGCTCCTGTGGTGCCCAGGGTTATGACCAGTGTGCCAACACATACACACAAGTCCAGTCAGATATGGTTTGTCCTGGTGAGTAATTATATAGGTCAGCTCATCTTGTAGGTTAACATATACACACGAGTCCAGATTGGTATGGTTTGTCTAGGTGAGTATCTCAACTTAACTTAAACATTGAACTTGCATGTGTGATTTCATCTTTGTGCAACTGGCATTATTTTAAAACATATCTTGATGGTTTACCAAGGATCCATTGTCATAATTCACATAAAATGTGTGTCTCTTAAATGTAATATTATTTCCATATTTTCTTGCTTTTAAGTCCCTCCCATCAAAGCTCCTAAGCAGACAGTGGCAGAGCCCAGTCTGAAGCTACCTGAGTGTAAACCACAGTGCAGTACCAGGTGTGATCTTTATAACTAGTTAAAATTACATAAATATCTCAATGTTTGTATTTGCGAAATTCATAATTTTTAGTTACTTGTGGAAACGTTTTTTTGCTGTGCACCACAGTCATATTTATTTTCTGGTAATTTTTTCAGTTCTAATAATAAAGGATTGTTCGTCATAATTACTTAATTGAATTTGATTGAGAATTGTGATTCATCATCATAAATTCCTTGACATTTTAATACCAGTCTTGGTTTCTTTCAATATTTTTATATATGGTAGTTCAATTTTGGAAACTCATTTCAGTAATAGAACTGAACTTGTTTTTGAATGCTATAATTTGTTACTTAAAAGATATGTTGAATGCAATTTGTATTTTTTAGATCAAACAAGACTTCCTGCGAGGCACTTGGCCACTGTACCTGGTGCAACAGAATGAACTATCACCATTTCCCAGTTTGTACTGAAATATGTCCGTATGTACTATATATTGTTATTTCAGGTAGTTTTGTCCTTGTATTTTATGTGTGTTTGCTTTGAGTACATCTTTTGAAGACAAATTTCTCTGTTGTTGTCTTTAATGATGCTATGGAGTTCATTTCATTAAAACTTAATGCTTTCAACAAGTTTTGGTACTGATTATTTGAAGAAAAAAAATCTGTTTTTCTTTTCAGTGATGAGATGGAAGTGTTTTTCCCCTGTGCTGACTTCACTGCAATGTCTGACTCTGACAGGAAGGAGCTTTTGGAGAACTTTTTTGGAAAACTCAAATCAGTCCTTCCTGGAAATATCAGCAGTAGCAATGTCTTCCCACCCCATAACTTTACCAAGGTTTGTTATAATCTGAATTTATAATGAATAATTGATTGTAGATTTAAAAGTGAAGTTGAAAATTGTCAATTTGCCAGCTGTGCTTGCAGGTGAAAATTAAGTTCTTGTTTTTATTCCACAGATACTTTAATTTGGTAATCCCTATCAGTAAAAGTTGATTAATTGCCACAACAAGAATACACTGTTTGATAAAAAAATGATTGTGAAAGTGCCTTTGAAAATCAAAAATGAAAATTCACAATAAAAGTTTGACAGTTGTCAAAACTTAGTTACGATCTCTAACCCCCCCCCCATGAAAAATGAAAGAACTCTAAATAGAAAGAAAAACGACTATAGATTTGTGATGCCATTTATCCTGTTTGATATCTTCCTCAGGACACAATCAAGTTTTACTACCAGGGAGAGGCATCAGTTATATCCAACAATGAGACAGCGGCCATCTTGAGGACCCTGTTTTCGTTGCCATCTCAGTTTCTGGTTGGTCCCAACAGTAATGCTGCAGCATACAGGGCAGCGGACCCTCTGGATTTCACTAAGTAGGTCCCCAAAGATAAGATCAGAGTGACTGATAAAATTTATGTTTCTGTTTAACCTATAGATTTTATACACATCCTTAATGAAAATTTCTATAGAAATTTCTATAGTATCCTACAGGAATTTCTGTAAGGGTGAATTTTTCCTAGCTTTCAAGCTTCTTTGAACCCAATAATAACTTTTTATTTGCATTGCACTGTTTTTATCATTGTTTGTGAACTTCAAACAAATTTTCATAAAATGTAAAGACATCTCAGGAACTTGTTTTTTTTTACAGGGATTGTTTTAATGTGCAGATGATGTACATTCTGAGTCAATAACTGTAACAGTTATTTTTGTATTTTTTCTTCCCAGTTTGAAGGTCATTCTCAAGGTTCCTGGGGTCAACCTGACCCAGCTCCTGCTCCACTCCCTGACACTACGCCAGGACATCATCGGTCAGCTGGGGGCACTCGCCACAGTTCTGATGCCTGATGTTGCCATGACAGTGGACAATGTGTGGATGGAAGGGGTAGGGGTGCTTTTTAAGTTAAATAAATAAATAAATATATATTAATATAAATTAAATAATTAGAAAAATGAATATATAATAATGATAAGATTCAAAAAGTCAATAGTTGGGGAAGGGTCACACACTTAAATTAGTTGACTACTTGAAATGAATGAATAAATGGTAAATTAAATAAAATTCTGTTTTTGGACAAAGTGGATGTAAGTTTAATGAAAAAAAAAATACATTAATTCCTATCACATCTTAACAAGATTTTTCCCCCACACACAGAATAAGCAAGTCACTAAATAAATTAAAAAAAAGATAAGCTGTAGATCTCAAAAATGTTCTTTGAAATTTGGTATAGTTAACCAAATAAGTGATATTAGAAAGTACATGTATATTTCTTGGATTAGGCTAAGTATCCCTTGGTGTATACTGTGAAAATAAAATTATATTTTATGACAAGTCCAGTGTACAGTTTGAAATGTCTCTCTTCTTACTAGATATTCCTGAGAGTGTATGCGATAACTTCTCACATTGTTTATGAATTGAGTTTGAACTGAATGTATTGTTCTTGTAGGAAACAATTCCCTTCACAATTCGTAAAACTGACCTCTCCAGTACGGTGGACCTCCTGGCCGCCTACGAGACACTAAAGGCGCGGGTTGAGGGGGCTGGTCTGAAACTGGACATACAGGGAACAAAGAGGACAGTGGCCAGTATAGACAGCGTGGGTAGCTTTTATGACATGTGTCCCAAGCCTTGTAGTGAGGGGTAAGTGTTGCCATAGTGAATGTGGCTTATATAATATGGATGTTTCCACAGCGTCAGTTTTGATTAAGTCATAAAGTAAAGCTCAAATCTTATCCTAGTTATGTCAGGATGCAAAATTTTGGGTGCTTTCCAGAAGAAGAGTTCTGAAATTGTGTCATGAAGAATAAATGCTTCTATACTCTGGGATACAATATAGTTTCAACAAGTGATCTGAATCTTGTTATGAAGGGCAAGTGTAACATTACTGTGCACAGATTCCCTTCGCCATGGGGTTTGCACCAATGGTAAAATTTTTTTCTAGTTTATAAAGAAATATTTATTTTATGATCACAGTAAAAGTGAAAGGTGTGTTGTTTTCATTAAATCTTAAATTAAAGAGGAAGGTGCCCATGTTGATAGATGTTTCTGTGATAAATCACCAACACGTGCCAATGACAAGATTTTTTAAAAATATTTTATTAGTTTTAATTCAAAATGGTTGTCATACAATGTTTATCATGTAAAAATAGCTCATTAAACAAGTTACAAAACCAACACAGCAGTCAAAACATCTGCCTTCTTAGGAGGCATATTCTTTTCTTATAACTGCCTTGAAGCCTATGGTACACAAAGATTCTACTCTGGTCAGGTTTTAAACCTTTGGCCCCTGCATGCAAAATTTGGTCAGTATCAGAATTACCTTTATCAAGATAACTGATTGATGGTTATTTTAAGTGAGAAAAGCAACAAAACTGGGTTTTGTCTAACTTTTTGGGGGAATAGTCCATTTTTAGGACCAGTTGATGTCTAGTATGAAAAATTATCAATTTTAATGACTTGATATTAAAGAAATAGCTTATTTGGGTGTTTTTCAAATTAAAAAGGCCCCGTTCATATAGAGTATATTTGGTCATTGTAACAGTGACAAACACTGCAGCATTCTGCACAAACAACTGAACCAAACATCATTTCTCTCCATTAGTACACACCAAACTTGCCAACACATCTGGTATAAAAACTCTTGTGAAGTAAACAGAACTACACTCTGAAGAGAATTTCATAACCCTTGAAAACTTGTTAGAAAAAAAAACAGCATGATACTGAAGATGCTTAAAATCAGAAACTTTTCTGAACAAGCCGAACTGAATTTGTGGGTTGTAGTTTTAAGTACACACATTAAGATGTGTTCAACTTGTAAAGCATATTTTCAAAGTGTTATCATGCCCTTAGTTGAAGTGGAGCACCATAAACTGAGATAAGGAAGCACAAGACAGAAATACAAATGTTGGAGAATGAAAACTGTAATCTTAGCAGTAGATTAAAAAAAAAACCTTTCAAAGTATCGGTGTTATCAATGTTATTGTATTTGCATAGGTCTGAAGTTATTCCATACACAGTCATATATCGTTATTGTCGTGGGGGACTGCAAAATTCTTATCACAACCTCGTTGAGTAGACATTCTCATTGGTAGACATAGCAACTTGGTTGGTTGGTAAGTGTAAAACTCTGAGGTAATATCTACCTAAATACTGATATTCTAGGGCCACTATGATAAACTTATTATTTCAATCAAATGAGGAAGCATTTGACAATCCCATACTAAACTTAGCTGAAAAAAATTCCATGTTTTACTTTAGTCAACCTGGACTACTTTAAACATTTCGTAAAAATAGTTAAATATTTTTTTGTAAAATGAAGAACTTTGACTATTTTGTTGACCAAGACTCAGAAACTCGTCTTCTGCTCTATCCCCAAGGGGTCTATGTAATTTGTCCTGTACTCTGAGGGTGTGAGGCGGAAAAACGAGATTGAGTCTTTGAGATCATTGTGGAAGTAACGCCGTATGAAGCCAGCGCTGGTGACCATCACCTCTGCCTTGTGTGGAGTACTCATCCCAATAAAACGGCAGTTAAAGATGGTCGTTTTTGTTTCAATGTGCTTATACGCCCAGTCTATTTTTTCATCAGTCACCAGTCGCCTTCGCTTACCGGTTGTTTTCAATTTCTTTAACAAGTCCCTAGCAACCATCTTTGTATGTTTTAAACTGTGTTCACCATCACATCTCTCTGATGTTACAAGTTTAAGTGTAAACCCTTCGCGGTCATTTTTGATCATGAGGAGAATTAAGTCCATGAACCTCTCTGGGTCTAACACTGGTGATGCCACGGTGATAGTTCCGCCAAAGCCCATCCACCTGTCCAGTAGTGTCTTCCAAAGACTATAGATGGAGCCAGCGCCATTCTGTATTGCTCCAGTATCTGGGAGATTCTCCAGTAGACTTGTTGCCTGAAGTAGAGAGATATGTTATTTAGACCTTGATTTGCTGTTTTGACTTGATCTTTGGAGATTTGTTTTACCTATTTTAGATTATTTGTTTTTCAACAAAATTTGCATTCCTTTAGGCAGAGAACAAAAAGTTATAATAAAATGATAATTTAAAAGAGTTGATTAAAGATATGTGTTTACCCATAAGCTTCAAAAGAAAATTGAAACACTCATTATAGAACTATTGAAAACAAAATTAAAATGGTGAGGTAAAAGAAATGCTATTTCCCTGTATCATTTGAGAAATCTTAACATTGAATTAAAGCTGTTATATCCAGAAGCAAAACTTACCGATATTCCATCAATACCCAGCTGTCTTCCTATTTGGTTGAAGAGATCCGCCATTAGTGTGACCTCAATCCCGCCTGCCTGTAACACCTCCTCGATATTCTCCAGAAACCATTGGTAGTGGTCATTCCCCTTGATCTTCAACAACCCATGCTTCTTGTCCAGCTTCAAGAACACTCCATGTTCTGGCCTCATTCTGAAAAAGCGGCCGTCATCAGAGCATGAATCCTGGGGGTAGCTTGCCTTTAAGGTGCTAATCCACCACGAGGTCAATTGTGGCGATTCATTGCCACATGTGATTTTAATCCCGTGTTTTCCCTTGTCTGTCATGAAAAGCTCGTGGGGAGGTTTCAGCCAGACTTTGGCGAAGTAGGTGGTGTGGGCGCCGTTGGCGACGCTGGCAGTGGAGGTGACGGACCTCAGTGAGGCCACGGAGCCTGAACGAGAACGAGGCATTTTTTTGGCCAAAAATGCAGGCAAGTTGTCCTCCTTTTTTCCTTTTTTAGTTAAAAACTGTCAATTTAAAAAAGTCACTCTTATTAAAGTGGTGAGTTGTATTTCTTTGGCAGTGTTTACAGTTTCCAGCAGTAACTGAAAGGAAAAAATAGGTTCATTCAGTATTGTTATCTGTTTTCCTGGAGTCAAGAAAGATTATATTAACATTGATTAGTAAATTACATGAATAAATATTCAAATATGTTGGAACTTTAAACTTATTTAAAGGAAATCTACTGTCCTTACTTCAAAGCAGCATGTCATGTATATCTAGCCATTTCATCTTTTCTTTTATAATGTAGATAAAGACCAAAAATTATCATAGAACCATTTGTTGTATGTTTTCAAGGAAATATTTAACTGTTAAAGAAAGAGAAACCATAGTCACAGTGGTAACAATGGTAAATTATGGAAGTTTGGAAGAAAACATGAACCTGATACTGTAGCAAATGTTTGTGTTATATATGGCAGCATTTCTTGCATGCCTTTCCACTTCTGCACATTATATAACCAACTTTGTTTAAGTTACTTTCATGTATCTGTAAACATGGTAGCCTAAGGTAACTACACATTGCCAAATAGAATGCTGAAGAAATTCAAATTAGACATACCATGTATGAAACTGTTTGTGTTTGCATGTCAACTTCAAGTCTACCAGTCAACCACTATGCACATCCCTGCATGTACACTTATTTATTATTTAGTCACTTAAGTGCAGGATTCATAATGATATGGGGTCTATAAAAATTCGTATTTGTATTGCAACCAATCATATCAGACAATTTTACTTGTTGACCTGATAAAAGTGAATGCAATGCAACCCTTGTCGAACATTCTCTTTTTAAGTCACAAGAACTGGACAACACATGCAGGCATGCTTTTGTCACAGTGATAAAAAAATCAAATAAAAAGACCCCTCAGAGAAAGACATAAAAAGATTCAACAATTATCCAAAAATATGCTGGCAAAGTTAAACTTGGTGACAGAGTTAACATTAATATGATTCATGCATGTTTGTTTATTTAAATTAAATGGAAAAAAAAAACTTTTTGTGAAGTCTGAGTAATAAATTTTCAACATTCTATGTAGTCATGATTATGTGATTGTCTGAAGAACAAAACGAGTTGTTGTGAAAATGTTCTTGAAGCAAGTAGTGTACCAAAAAACCAATTCTGATAGTGAATGGAATATGACTATGATGTACATATAATTTCACTCTAAAGATATGTCTGACTAGTTGATATGTTCAGCATATTACAAGTGAGACAGGTAATAAATTGACAGACTGCAATACTAGTCATTGCATGGGAATCAAAGCCACATGCCAATCCCAATTATGTGTAAATATGCATGGTCATCAAGTTGTGTAACTTTGGTAATTCCTTGATGTTATCTGGACGCTCAATCTTCACATTTTTTACGTTGGCATCATCACATATGTGCGCATCTAGTGTATAAGTGTTAGGTAGATTGGATTTAATCAAGTTATCTCGTGTCCTTTCAATATTATAATTTCTCACAAATAGATAAATGCTGTAGTTCAATTTTGCACTTGCCAACTATGAGTTATCCTGGGAATACACACACACACATACACACACATACACACACACACATACACACACACACAGGGCAGGCCTGTTATTTATGAACAATCAACCAAAGATGTGATATTTATATCTTTGTGGGATATTTTACAAGTGGAAATGTGTAATTTAAGTGCCATCTTAATATCCAAGCTTGGGTTAACAGCATTCTGAAGAGCCATCATATTTTATAGAATAGTTTATTGAGCTAAGACAATCAAACTGGTATTATTGCACGACATTTGTACACCATACAAGCTGTGCAATGTCTTATGTGCAACTTAGGATATCTACTAAATACATAATGATCCCCAAAATAATTTTTTCCATACACAAGTATTCCCTGTAGATCTATGAGGTTGAAGAAGGGTGGATGAAGAATAGCGATCACTGTGTAAACTGCAAGATCATAATGTTTATGTTAGGTCTACTGTTGTTTCACAACAAACAGCAACTTACTTCCAAGTATGGCCTAGTAGAGTAAGTGCAGTGACACACCCATCTTTAAGTGCAGTGGTTGTAAACCATCTTATTGAATACTTAATGCCTTAATTACCTCAGTCTCAGACCAGGAGTGAAAATTAGATTTAATCTCAGAGAATTAAACTATATAATGGTCTTCCATCTCAACCAATTGTGTGTGTTCCCTATAGCTTTTCATTATCATCATTAATTATGCGTTTGGTTTAGCAATATCACCTTTTTAAGCTCACCTGTGTCCATTGGAGCAACTCACAGGTGTTTTTTTTTTAAATAAAGTGCATATCACTGTTTTCACGACATCAGGAATAGCAGTTTTTTAGGGATGTGTTGGTTTAAACATCTTTTCACATGCATGTCAGGTATTAAAACCTTCAATACTTCGATTAATGGAGACCAAAATTCTTTTTATGACCTGTCCTGTATCACTTAGACTCCATAACTTCCTACAGCATATATCACAATGTGTTCACTGGGTGAACTTTTTTCCAAATTTCCATCTATGGGGCAACCAGGTAGAAACTCACAGATACCTTGTAATAACCAAAACACAGGTGAGATAAACCTTACCTTAAAAGTAGCCAAACGTGGTTTAATATTTCCAAAATCTCCGCTTAAAGAGCTGCATTATGTGTTGTCCACCATGATGGATTTAAATCCAAACGACTCTGTGTGGTGTACACAAGATGTGACCTACTAGTTCAGTTGATATGCTAATTCCAGGTGTGACGCCATTGGCTTGCTTACCTGAGTGGTCAGGACAGACATGGGGAGAGGCGGAGAGAATATTTTCATTTAGGAAAATCCTTTTTAGATATGTAATCGTGTAAAAAATGATATATATTAGATTTTGAATCAATGTGGATATAAATTGTTAGTACAGGTTATTGGTTTAGTGAAGAATGTAAATTGCTTTTCAGTTCTGTGAAATTTTGAAAAAAAATTTGTTTCTCCCCTCCTCTCTGCTTTGGCTCCCTTAGAATTAGGACCGTCTATTAAAGAGTGATCTCATTGGCTTATCCCTGTTCTATGGACGTCACCTGTTGACTCTGAGATGAGTCATTACCTGAACACAACCACACTATTTTTCTTACTAATCTTTGTGCATTAAAAGTTGACAGATATTTACTCTGTGATTAACAGCAGCTGAGGTGATTGATCAGTTTAAAACTGCACTAGACAAAGATAAAAATTAGTACAGATAGTAAACTTTGATATTTTGTTAGAGACATTACAAATAATTTTTTTTTCATTTTTTACTGGGTGTTATTTTGGGTTATCATTTCAATAAATAAAATTTAAAAGCTATATGTAATGATGATTAAGACAGAAGATATTCACTTTTGTCAGTTGCTGGCGTTGACAGTCGATCAAATTGCTTCTATTTTATAAATATGAATAAAAGAAATTCACAGTCTCAATTAAAATAATAATTATTGAAATAAAGTAATGCCTGTAATGAAGTTGTTAAAAAAAATGAAAAAAGGATACAGAGCTTCCTTTGTTCCAATTAATGCAGTGTTTACTGTAACTTAATTTCTTTTTTTCTTAGGGATTTTTGGATTGGAAGACCCAGAAGACTCCCTAGATCTGCCCCTGTTGAGACTGTGTTGTAAAAATTTGCTGCAAATTTCAATAAGCTATACTCTGCAGGGCCTTTTTGGTCTATTTAATCTTAATTTATTTTTGTGTCTTCTATTTAGACTAGACAAGCAGTCGTGTGATGACATCCCTGGGTGTGACTGGGGAGACTTTGACAACCCACAGCAGTGCTCTAACAACAGCTACCTGGCTGAGAGGTAACCCCCCACCCCCCACCATTTACCTCTCTCCCTCCCTCTCTCTCTCTCTCTCTCTCTCTCTCTCTCTCTCTCTCTCTCTCTCCACTGCACCTTCTAATTCACCTGTTTTATGTATTTCTCTCTCTTTTGACATTTTCTTATTTTCCTTTTCTCTCTTACTAATGTTTAATTTTTTGCAAGCCACTGTATTATATTTTCCATCAAATTCTGTATCTGTAGCAGTAATAGTATGTACTTTAATTAATACAATAATATATATTTCTCAGGGCGGTGGTGACAGCTCACTTCCCGTGTGCCTTCATCATTGATGAACTGACTCCAGAAGAGCAAGAAGAGACCAAGGAAAACTTCATGACTGCCATCCAAAATGTTTTGCCTCATCTGTCCCAGAAAGCCATTCACAGCATTAGAATACAACAGGTAGGAGAGAGATGGCTACAGTGTATGCAGGCCCGTAACCAGGGGGGGGGGGTTCAGGGGGTTCGAAAGAACCCCCTTTTGCTGGGAAAAGGTCCACTCTGGGTAAAATTTGATCTAGGCAATGAGGTTTTTATGAAAAAAGGTCCACTTTTTCAGAAAAAGAACCCCCCTTTTGAAATTGCTGGCTACGGGCCTGGTATGGTACGTATTACACTTGGTATAGTACTTGTTACAATTAAGTTAGACAAATAACCCACGGTATAGGATATACAATATTAATACAAGTATATTGAGGGCGAATAAGAGCAAATTGATCTGCAGGCTAACAGATCTGTGGATCAAATATGGGAGACCCACATAAAAGCAAAACTGATTTTTCGGCTGATGGTCACCCTGCCTCCACATGTGCCAATAAATGGATTAAATTATGGCTTCTAGGTTTAATTGCTAGACCTCTTGTAGATTAATTTGGCACACAAAAGATGCTTTTTTGTGGATGAATCTGTTTGCCCTTTTCAGGGCCACCCACTCCATGGGAGCAGGATCAGCTTCACCCTACAGGGCACCATGCAAGATGATCCAGTGTTTGATTCGTACCATCAGCTCAATCAGACTTTCCGCTGGGTCAGTAATTTCCGTGTAGGCCCACACAGGAATGTGTCCGCATACAGAAGCATGCACAGAGAAAGGAAATATGACGATTTCACAAAGTAAGTGTGGGAATGTATATTTAAAAGCTTAAAAGCATTTTTTGTTCTATATTAATTAAATTTATTCAGCTGAATTTGAATATGCAGCTTTAGTTATGACATACTTGGTAAATTTTTTTCACGTTCACTTATTTGGAGATTCTTACACATTTCGTCTTAGGGCTCATTCTCAAAGAAACTACCATTTTACGTAGATCAGTGCAACTTTGTGGGGATTGGATTGGGGGGGGGGGGGGGGGGGGGGCTTGGCTTCCCATCCGCGGACCCTCCCTTCAAATAATCCTGGATCCGCCCCTGCCCAGGGTAACCTCTTTGACAACCTGTTTCCAAACATGCATGTTTTTCTACTCACAAATCTTTAACATTACAGCCTAAGAGTACACCTGACCTTCCCCAACACTGTGGACTTTGACCAGTTCCTGCGAAGTGACCCCCTGAATGCCAGGCAGCAGCTGATTGGCCAGCTTCAGAATGAGGTGATGGCGGTGTTTCGACCTGAGGTGGCTGCCACCATAGCAGATATATGGATGGAACAGGTGAGGTTCAGAAGCCACTGTACGTGACATTAACTTAAGGATTGAAGATGGAGAAGCTAAGGTTTAGAAAGTCACATAATTAAAGAAACTTAGATAATATTAGGTAGCTGCAATTGAGAAGATGAGGTTCGTTCACATGATTTAGGAGAATATATGTATGCGTCACTTTAGGACCAGTTGAAATTTATGCATTGGTACAGAAATCATATTGCATGTCAAACATGTAAAAAAGAGAAACAACTTTGAATAAAAATGTTTTAGATATTAAGAATAACAATTTTGTTTTCAGAATTTTATTCCCTTCACCATCTCCAAAAGCCTTGACAGTGATGTGAACCTTGTGGAAGAGTTCTACAGATTACAAGAAAAAGTCAACAACAGCCAGGTTTCAGTTCATCTTGGACCAGCTGGCACTGTCACAGCAAGTGCTGCCTCTTACCAGGGAACTTTTGAACTCCTTTGCCCAAGAAAGTGCTCCGATGGGTGAGGATGGGTCACTCTTGGGGCATCTGTTTTGAATAATAATTAAATTTCTTATTATAAAATTTGACATTTATATACTGTCACAGTGCCTTTTCACACTATTTGATTTCCGAGTTAGTTTGTAATGAATTATTCTTAAAATGATATGTTTTATTATTTTATTTTGGTTGCCAGAAAGTCCCATTTTATGCACTTTTTACAATGGTAATGTATGTTATCATATTTAAAATAAAGAAATGGATTAGAAAATTTTGAAATTAAATACTTTTCTTTTCTTTTAATTTTTTTTTTTTTACTTTCCAAATTCAAAGTTGTAGAAAATAAGTAGAAAGAAGTGACTTTAGCTTGTAATTTTTTTTCTTTTTTCTTCTCAGTGTAGACAAGATGTCTTGCATGACAATACCAGGCTGTGATTGGTCAGATTATGACAAGAACAAAACCTGCCAGAATAATGCTTTATTAGCAGAAAGGTATGAGTCAAAATGTGTTGAATATTACTGAATTTTGTCTTCTACTAGAAGTTAATCAATATTCCTCGTTGATTAAATATCTTTTTCCATGTGTTGGTGTTTTCAGGTCTGTCAGTAAATGATGAAATAAGAATTAAATTCTCATATTCTAGCAAATTCTGAAATATCATTCTCCTTTTTCTATGACTTGCAATTACAACACAATTATGACACAATTAAGATGTTTGTCTTTTTGAAAACTTGAATGAATTTTGTACATGAACCAAATTATGGCTCTGTCCACTAGTATTCATGTTATACCATATTTCAGCATCGTGACCAAGGTGTTCTTCCCCTGTGCTGACTTTACCAGTCTCCCCCAGGATGAGAGGACACAGGTTCTCTCTAACTTTAGGAACCAGCTGTACGGCCATCTCCCCAATGTGTCGGCCAAAGCTTTACATTCATTCAAGTTTGAAGAGGTGAGAGTTTCACACATAAACAGGTTGAGGAGGGGTGAGACAGGTGTCTCAGTTATATGCTATATGGTCTTATTTTCTACAAGGGTGGTCAGATTTTGCCTTTTTTAAAAGTAAAAGCAACATATTGTAAATGAACATGTTATATTATATTACAGGCCCGTAGCCAGGGGGGG